GCTCTATTATTCACATCGACTGCAACCTCTTAGCTGGGAGTCAGGAACCACAAATGCTCATCTCTTTTTCCTCTGATCTTGACTGGATGTCCTCTTCCCCATGTCATCCATGGATCCACTTCATCCTTCCTTGGAGTATAGGACAGCTATTTCCACTTCAGAGGGGCCAGTTCACTCCTACATGAGAAGATCCTTCTGCCTCTTCCTTAGCTCCAAGTGTTCAGAGGTCCATCTTCTTTGCTGCCTTCTCTGTGTCAACTTCAAACACTCTCCAGCCTCGTAGCTTGAGGCAGGATTTATTTCTGCCTTTTCAGATTTCCCCATCTTTTTTTCTTCAAAAGAAATCTTGAAGCTCTTTTTCCATTTTTTTTCAAGAAATATTCAATTCTCCCTAATAACTTGTAAAATAGAGTCATTTCTTTAGATTTGGGGTTCTTAGCCTCTTTTTTTCTGTCATGAACTTCTTTGGCAGTCTGGTTTAGCTAATGGACCCTTTCACAGAATAATATTATTTGTTTTAAATTCATAATTGAAGGAAATCCTAACTTATAGTTAGGGGTTAATAGAACAAAAGATGTAACTTTTTCCCACCTAAGTTCACTTACCCCTTGAAATCTATCCATGGACCCTTTTGGGAGGGGTAGGGTCTATGGACCCTGGATTAAGAATTCCTCCTCTAGAACTTTCACCTTCCTCTCTGCCTGAAAAGGCAAGAGTAAACTGTACTTTTGTGAATTTGTAGCAGTTACTAGATAGTGCAGTGGATAGGGCACCAGACCTAGAGTCAAGAAGACCAGAGTTCAAATTTGATGCCGGGCACTAGCTGTGTAACCCTGGTTAAGTCACTTAACACACTTTGCCTCAGTTTCCTTATCTGTAAAATGAGCTGGAGAAGGAAATGGCAACATACTCCAGTACCTTCACCAGGAAAACCCAGATAGGGTTGAAGAATCTGAAATGACCAAACAACAATAAGCAGTTGTTTGCCCATGGTTGCAATGTTTTGTTTCTATGCAGAACCTGCCTTGCCCTCTACTAGATGGACCTGGGATACTCAGTCCTTCTGTTGTCCCTGTTGGTAGTTCTTGTGACACCTTGCTATGACAAACCTGCTCAGGCAAAGTTCTTTGTTGCTTCCCTGCTTGCTTGCCTAGCAGAGAGGCTTAGTTTCTGAGAATTTTGTAGTCGTCTTAGGGAGAACCTTTGCCAGCTTGTTCAGTTCCTTTTGATTGGCGATCAGTGGGCAGCTTCCTGAGGCCCAGTACCAATCAAAACTGACCACAGCTGAAGTGGAGGAGGGGGTTTCTAGCTGAATCCAATTGCCATCTGCTTCACACACCTTTCTACTTCTTCTGATGATTAGATTTTAAAGGGTGTTTTTTCCCATCTTTTGACTTCTCTGGTGGTCTTTGTCTGAGTTTAATTATTTCAGATGTTCCCTATGGAATCCAACATATGTGAGATGCTCCTGTGAGCATTATCATCAAATCTCATTCCTGCCTACTGCAAGAGAAGGTGGAGTCCTTCCTTAGCCGTTGTTAGACCCATGCAAACTAGTGTGGTTTTGAACTGAGGATTAAAAAACATTGTAGAATTCTGGGTCTGTTGTTTATTCAGATTGAATGGTATAAAATATCCCCATTAAAAACCGAAGCTCAAAAGTCATACCACATAACAGGTGGCAGGAAAAGTGAAATGATTTACCACACAGACAGGCAAGTTTATTTTCAAATTATTATCCCAAAATCATATTTGCTTAATGAAGTTTAAAATATGATATTATATTTAGCATAAAGGTAAATTATGCCACAAATACTTTAGAGGACAAAGGTTATTATATATTTCACACCAATGTGATGATTACTCTCTGCTTAATTTCATGTTATAAAGGTATAGAGTGGTTCAGTACTAGCTTTGTGCATTCAAGAAGTTCATATGCATAGCAACTTCCATTTTGAAGAGCAGTGATTTCATTTAATAACAAATGGGTTCACTGAATTTAAGAGCCAATCTGGTATAAAACTACTGATGCAGACTTAATTCAATTGGGTATTACAAATTTGCAAAACATTAGTTAAGCTTTGGGATATGCAGTTTCTAATGATAATTCTGAAATAACCATTCTAACTAAAATGTCAGAAATATCAGTTCTCCTATCCTGGGTGCTGGCTTAGCATCTGAAATCTAAAGCTTGATTTTTCATGATAAGATCAAAAACTTTTTCAGTTTTTGGTATACATGTCACAGTGTTCTAGCCTGTTATTTTATTCTAAGGCACAAAGATTATACTAAAATAGAGTATCCTGCTGATTATTTTTACAGTTTTGTGCTTTGTAGTTAGATCGATAGACTGTAGGAAGTCTATCAGTACATACTTCTTGGAGAGACACTGAAAACAGATGATAAACTAGACTGAACTGAACAGAACTAAAAAGGAAGAAGAGAGTGAACTTATTTTAATTTGGGAAATTGTGCCAGGCTTTCAATGACTATATCCTTCTCTCTGAAACAAAATCACGTGTAGTTAATACCAGTGTTTTTCCAGTAAAGCTGTATGCTGTGAATCATGAAAGGCAGCTAGGTGACACAGTGGATAGAGTACTGGTCCTGAAGTCAGGAAGACCTGAGTTCAAATGTGGCCCTTAGACACTTATTAGCTATGTGACTCGGGGCAAGTCACTTAACCCTATTTGCCTCAGTTACCTCATCTGCAAAGTGAGCTGGAGAAGGAAAAGGCAGACCACTCCACTATTTTTGCTAAGAACAAAACAAAACAAAAAACCAAATGAGGTCACAAAGAATCAGACAAGACTGAAAAATGACTAAGCAATGAATCATGAAATGCCGTAGTGTTATTTAAGGTATTATTTTAGTGAACAAGCATTTATTTTCTCTCCCTCTTATCTCTTCCAATGGAAAGAAAAAAAAATCAAGCAAACCCTTGTTACAGATATGAATAATTAGGCAAAAAAAAAAATGCGCTGTTTGGCCATGTCTGAAAATGTATTTCTTATTCTGCATCTTGTTATCTATCACCTCTCTGTCAAAATATAGGTAGTATAAATCACTGTCTGTTCTCTGGAAATATGATAAGTCATCACATTGATCAGAGAATTTAAGTCTTTCAAAGTTGTTTATCTGTACCATATTATTGATTTCATATAAATTGTTCTCCTGGTCCTTTTCCCTTCACTTTGCAGCAGTTTGTACAAGTCTTTCCAGGCTTTTCTGAACACACCCTTTAAGTCTTTCTTATGATGGAATAACATATGTTCATATACCAAAATTTGGTCAGCCATACCACAGTTGATGTGGAATGGCTTAGTTTCTGGTTCTTTGCTCTCACAAAAGAGCTGCTATAAATATTTTTATACGCATGATTTTTTCCTTAATCTTTGATCTCTTATCCTGAGGCCAAGGGGTATACACAGTTTGTGACTTTTGGGTATAGTTCTGAATTGTTTCCCAGAATGGCTTTCCCAGTTCACAGCTCCATCAACATCTGCACTTTAATCTGTGTGTTTTCCCACAGACCCACCCACATTTGTCATTTTCCTTTTTTTGTCAACTTTGCCAATTTGATGGCTATGATGTGGAACCTCAGAGTTATTTTAATTTACATTTTCTACTTATTTGGAACATTTTTTTCCATATGGTTATAGATAGCTTGGATTTCTTCCCTTTACAATTTAAAGGTCTGAGTGCTTAAAGCAAATTTATTGCAAGGAATATAAGGAATAAAAAAGGGAATTATTATAAGTAAATCTCAAGCTGAGCTTCCACATTCCTTTTCCTGCAGTTTGGGTCACAGCCTCTGCAAAATAATCATGTCACCAGTCAATGAATTCCTAACATCATGATTATAATATTGTTGTGGATCATGGGGTGAGTTCAGTCTTTGCTGCTGATGTCATCACCCTAATCAGTAGCTTCTACTGTATCTTAGGCACTCCTGTTTGCTGCTATCTTTTCCAGAAATTTTCTGCTTCTCCTGACTTGCCTTAGGGCTCCTAGCAAGTAGCCTGGCAGTCTCTGTCCACTGCCACAGGCTAAATTTCCTCATTGCTACCATCTGCCAGAAGTTTCTCTCATTTGTGGTTCTTTCCTTCCTCACTGCCATCTACCCAAAAGTCCTCCCATATTCCCCATGGTTCTGTCTCATACATCATTACTTGGTAGTTTTTGGTCATATATCCTGAGTCCATAGCATTGTGGGAAAGAGAGTGCTTTCTTCCCCTTTTTCATCTGCTTATCTTTTCTGCTTTTTGCAAAAAGGAAGGGAAAAAGTTGAAAGACCACCACCCCCTCTGACTTCCATATACTCTCACAACTGCCTATTGCATGAATAAGAAATCTGGGAGAAAATGTTGATAGTATTTTGTAGAGAGAGAGACATCATCGTTGCTTACTCGTTTGTTTGTAGAGTATGGCTCATTCTTATTTGAGACTTTCAGCCTGAAGATACAAGTAATTATAGCTCAGGTTTATTTGTAGTTTAAGATTTGCAAAGCACCTTCCTTATAGCGATCCTGTGAGACAGGTGAGAAGTACAGGTATTAGGATTCCTATTGTACAAGTGAAGAAACAGTCTCAGAGAGATTGAATGACAGCTAGGAAGTGTCAGAGGCAGAGGCTGAACCTAGTTCTCCTGACTCCTGTGTTTTCTCTCTATTCTTTCTACTATGTCATTTTACTTTTCAGTAGAATGCCACCACTGAATTAATCAATGAATTTATTCATTGTGACTGGAGGAGGATGCATAGTATTAACCTTGGGGCTATTAAATATAAGCCAGGCACTATTAAAATACTGGTTCAATCAAAATTGTCTTCTTTAACATTTTATTTTACAGCAATTAAGGCTATAAAATTAATTACTAGAAGATACATTCCTTCTATGTGTACATATACAAATGTGTATGTGTGTATATCTATCTATCTATCTATATATGTATGTCTATATATCTGTTTGAGCTAACGATCTTTAAAATTATTTTATAGATATAATGGAGGATTACTGGAGTTTCAAAAAAGCAAGCAAGAAATAAAAGATAATAATGAAAACTGGTATGATATAGACCATAGAAAAGATGAAGATTTACCTGAAACATTTCAGGTAAGAAAACATTTAAGTCTACAATGCCATAATGTTTAGAATAATCTGCCAAAAATGAAGTTGGGGCACACAAACTTTGTGCTGAATTCTGTTACAAAGAATTATCTCTGTAAATGTAGACTATTTAAATAGACAGACATCTGAAATTTAAATAAAGTTCTGAACCTCTACCTAGTAACACAAGGAAGTCCGTTCATGTGTCATAGGAAGTAGGAGGGGAGTATATGTACTAAAATTTCTAAGTTACAAGTCACTAGGGTAGGTACCAGTTCAAAATCAGTTCCATTTGTTTTCTTCAGAGATAGATGTTGGTAACACTAGGTAACATTAGGTTGTTTTTTGATTTTAGTAATTTTTACTCATCTTGCTATGATAAAAGTTACTCGTAAAGCTTTGTTCTCACTATGGATCTTTTAACAAATACGGAGCTCTTGAAGTAGAGCCAAACACCAGTCAATTAACTCACACAGAAAGTGAGTTCTGAGGTATATAAAGATAAAATAATTTGTTTTCAGCTCAGAATAAAACTCAGTAATAGGAAGGAAGAAGTAAAACACTTTCCAAGTGAAAAGAGCCAATGAAAGGGAACTTAACTGCAGATTAGGAGCAGGATAAAAAAAAAACCTTCAGTGCAGTTTAGCTATTTATAAAAGAGACAGGAAGGAGAGACCCAAAGATACTAGTTTAGTAAGCATAAATCTCTGAGATCCTTTTTAACTCTGAGATTTTGTGAGTCAGTGAAATCTAAGACTAGGAAACATTTTCTGGCCTCTACCTCCTACTTCCCCTCCCTCCCTTCTTTATCTTCTCTTTATCTTCTATCCCTCTCACTTTTCTTCCCCTTATTTCTTCTCTTCTTCTTCCCCTTACTCTTCTTTTTACTTTTCTTTACTTCTTTCCCCCTTTTCAATCTCTTCTCTTTTTTTTACAATTGTCAATGCATGAATTTTTCTTGCTTTTTTCAACAGGATCTTCTTGATGACTATATTAAAAAATATGAAAATCTTATAGAAAAGGGGACTATCTGCAGTTCTCCAGACTGTGAGCGGTCTTGTGAGACAGATATTTTAAAGAAATCTAAATATAAGGTATTGTCATTTTCATAAAACTGGGGAAACTTGTAATTTATTAAATTTTGAAATTAAGTATAGCAGGTTAAAAAAATTATCCAAATGTTGCTTAAAAAGCCCTTCATTTCATCATAATTCAAATTTGTTATCTGTTATTTTTAAACAACGAATTGTAATATATTTGATTGCCTTTATCAGTGAGAAAGCATATAGGTTATCAAAAGAAACTTGGATGGTTCCCCCCAAATAGAACAAGGCAGTTATTGTAAGGATCAAGAGACAGAAAGCTTTGAGGGACTTGTAATTCAAGGCCAAACAACATTCACTGATTTGTAGACATGGGGGAAACAAACCCTTGCAAGAACTTTGAATATTTAGTGCCTAAGAAAAGTACAACTTAGGGCTATGTATTTTTTTTTCTCATGGCCTGTATGTTTATATTACTTATGTATCTCAGGTGGTCCAACCTAGTTAAATTTGAAGAGGCTTATCACCACAAAGTTTAGAGGTCAGCCACTAACTGGTAAAAATGTTTTTGGCTGTAGCAAACATAAAGACTCATTACAGAGGCATGAAGGAGTTGTTATCTGTGTTGGTAAAACTCAGATGAAATCCAGATATTAATATATGGAATCTTTTTTTCAAACTCCAAATGAGGCTTAGGAATCACTGTAACCTATTAACAGCAAAGTATGGAGTAAAGTCTAGTTTTAGTCTGTTACTGTTGGGTTTTACTGTTTTATTGTCCTGCCAGATTGAAGCTTGAGTCTATGTTGCTATGGTGTTCAAGGTATGGCCTGCTAGAGTTTCTGCATTTTCAGCTACAGAATGCCAAGGAAGCAATAGGAAATGTGGCGGTATGGAGAGAGGGCTGGCCTGAGGGTCAAGAAGGCATTGGGTTCAAGTCTTGGGTCAGACTTATGTTTGACTCTGGGGGATTCTCTTAAGCTCTTAGTCCCTCAGGAAGTTCTCTAATACTATAAGTTAGGGATGAATTGCTGATCTGCATTGGTAGAGGGAGTTTCCATGCCAGGAGTTCCATTCATTGATAAAAGCATATTTCCTGATCAAAATCAAGCAAAATGGTCTAAGAAATTCATGAAACCATAAAAATAACTTATGAAATTATAAATAGGTAAGCATGGTACATATATTATGTGTAAATATTTATATATTATATACACACACATATGTAGTTATAGAACTATATCACATTGCCAGGCTGTTATCTGAAAGCATATTGTCAAATAGGTGCAAATTCTCACTTCTGCAGTCCATGAAAAAAAAAGGTCTTTGAATAGACTCAATAATTTTTAAAAACCTAAGTTAAGCCTTAAAAGTATTTATTAAGTACCTAATGTTTCTCTGATTCTTGGCATAGACTAATTTTTATGCCTGGATTATATCCAATTTTAGAATGGTTTATTCATTTTATTATTTTGTATGCATTGTTAAATATAAGAGAAAGACTAAATAATTATTATCTGCAAAAAGATCTTAGAATAAAGAACTAGAGTGAAAACCTTCAAAAGCTCTTTTAATCTTCATGCATTATGACATTAGTATAATGAGTTTATCAGATTAGATAACTATCTTCCAGGCTATCAGAGTGAGTCAGGTACTGTAAGAGGTAAAGAACAGGGGGGCGGAGCCAAGATGCAGAGTAAAAGCAGTGACTTGCTTGAGCTCTTTCCCAAACCCCTCCCAATACCTGTAAAAATGGCTCTAAACAAATTCTAAAGCAGCAGAACCCATGAAAAGACAGAGTGAAACAAATTTCCATCCCAAGACAGCCTGGATGGTTGATCAGAAAGGCATATCATGCTGGGCTGGGAGAGGAGCCCAGTTTGGGTGTGGGTTCGCAGGCCACAGGGAGCCTGGAACAGGCCTGAGAGGACTGAATTGTGGGCAGCTGTAGTGGTTTCCAGACTTTTCAACCCACAAATTCCAAAGACAACTTAGAAGGTCAGTGGGAAAAGCCTGTTTCTGTGGTGCTGAGAGAGAAGCTTGGGTCTGGAGCTTGGCCCCAGGGTGGCAGCTGCCTCGTGAGCTTCCCTCCCACAGACTGAGGGGGAATCCAGTGGCTGATCAGAGGGAGATTGCAGGGATCTCTCTGCTGGTGGAGGATTCTCTTGCTTTGCCCATGCTTGGATCTGGGTCACAGTTCTGCGTGGTGGTCCTGGGGTTAGGAGGAGTGCTGGCACAGTGGAGCTTGTAGTGGCTGTGGAGAGAAAATTCTCACAGTTCCAAGACAGAAAAGGGTGCTTGTGGTCACTCATAGACCAGAGCACAGGCCAGGAAAGGAGTAAACACCTTGCCCTTGATCATAGCACCTTGGAAGAACTGAAAATTTACAGGTCCCTAGAAGTATCTCTGAAAACAGCTGCACAAAACCCCTGAAGCTTGGGACAGTACATTCTCCACATTGAAAACAGACTCCTACCTTGACAAAAAGTTTATAACTCAAGTAATTGGCCAGGATCATGAGCAAGCAGCACAAAAAGAATCAGACTGTAGTATCTTACTTTGGTGACAAAGAAATCAAAACATACAACCAGAAGAAGACAATGAAGCCAAAGCCTCCAAGAAAAATGTGAATTGGTCCTAGGCCATGGAGGAGCTCAAAAAGGATTTTGAGAAGCAAGTAAGAGAAGTAGAGGAAAAACTGAGAGTGATGCTAAAAGAGACCCCCCCAAAATAATGAAGAAAATAACACCTTAAAAAATAGCCTAACCCAAATGGCAAAAGAGGCCCAAAAAGCCAATGAGGAGAAGAATGCCCTAAAAAGCAAAATTGGCCAAACAGAAAAGGAAGTCCAAAAGCTTACTGAAGAAAATACTTCCTTAAAAATTAGAATGGAGGAATTGGAAACTAGTGACAATTTGAGAAATAAAGCAACTATAACACTAATCCAAAAGAATGAAAAAATAGAAGAAAATGTGAAATATCTTATTGGGAAAACAACTGACCTGGAAAATAGATCCAGGAGAGAGAACTTAAAAATTATTGGACTGTCTGAAAGCCATGATCAAAAAAAGAGCCTGGACATCATCTTTCAAGAAATTACCAAGGAAAACTGCCCTGATATTTTAGAACCAGAGGGCAAAGTAGAAATGGAAAGACTCCACCAATCACCTCCTAAAAGAGATCCCCAAAGGAAGACTCCTAGGAATATTGTAGCCAAATTCCAGAATTCCCAGGTCAAGGAGAAAATATTGCAAGCAGCCAGAAAGAAACAATTTAAGTATTGTGGAAACACAATCAGGATAACAAAAGATTTAGCAGCCTATGGGGTGGTATCTGGAAAATAAAATTAAGGGGTGAGAAAGGATTATACTGGGAGAAGGAGAAAGGGAGAAGTAGAATGGGGTAAATTATCTCACATGAAACAAACAAGAAAGGGCTTTTACAGTGGAGGAGAAATGGGGGAAGGTGAGAGAGAATGAGTGAATCTTACTCTCATAGGATTTGGCTTGAGGAGGGAATAACATACCCAATGGGGTATGGAAATCTATATTACCATACAGGAAAATAAGGGGGGAAGGGGACAAGAGAGCAAGGGGTTGATAGAAGGGAGGGCATATTGGGGGAGGGGATAGATAGTCAAAAGCAAACACTTCTGAGGAGGGACAGGGTCAAAAGAGAGAACAGAATAAATGGGGGGTAGGATAGGATGAAGGGAAATATACTTAGTTTTTCACAACAGGAATACTATGGAAGTGTTTTGCATGACTACTCATCTATAACCTGTATCGAAATGCTTACCTTTTCAGTGAGGGTGGGTGGGGAGGGAGGAATGGAGAAAATTTGTAACCCAAAATTTTATAAACATATGTTAAAAATAAAAACTATTGAGAAACCACACCTGCCAAGAAAAAAAAAGAGGTAAAGAACAGGAGAGAGAAAAGGAAAGACAGATATATAGCAGCAGCAAGCCTAGGAATGAGGGGCTAGTTGCTAAGTGAGTTCACTGACTTAAGAGGAGGCCTAACTGAGGTAACTTGTAGGAGCAAGAGCTGCAGAATGTGAGATTCTAAACCTGCACTCTATTTCTTTTGAAGACTGGAATTTTCTAGTTAATTAGGTGAGTCAGTACCCTATAGACTCAATTTATGTTGGCTAAAAGAGATGGAGACAGATATTTAAAATACTGTATATGTCTATTGACACCTTGCTTAGGGGTAGTTTCACATCAGGATATTCAAGAAAAGGTGCAACAGCTATTCCTTTAGCATCTTTGTATACTGATTATTTGTTTTCACGTGTTAGGAACACCTCTGGAGATGCTTAATAAGATCCCATTGCCTGGTTTCTCTGGATAAGTTGAATAGTAGTTTCCTATACAGCAGTGGTTCTTAACCTGGGGTCTTTGAACCTGCCTTTTTTTTTTAAATCATATTTTGATAACTCTATTTCAGTATACTCCTGCATGTTTTATTTTATACATTTGAAAAATTATTCTGAGAATAAGTCTCAAGCTTCACTAGACTGCCATAGGAGTCCATGAAACAAAAAGTTTAAAGACTCCTGATATAGAGAAAGTTGGCTGTTTCTGATCTTGACAAAAACATTACCATTTTATAAAATATGCTGGTAGATACTCTCATGCCAGCAGGTGGCATGGATGGTGGGCGAGAAGGTGGAGAAATGAAAGAAGAAAGGAAAGCCGGGCTAGGTGAGTCTTAGAGGTTAAAGCTCAAGACTAGCTTATTTCAGGAATTTTCTTATCATATACTCATAGAAAAACAACTTGGTATCGTGAGAAATGATTTACAAGTGCTGCGAAGCCCTGTTAATAACATAAATAAACTAAGCAGCCAAAGATCATCTTTTTCTCAAGGGAAAGTAGTTTCAGTGCCAAAGTTCATATCTATTGTTATTTTCCTTCTCAGTGCTTAGTATTGTCTACCACGAGTCAGCCTCCTGGCTCCAGAGCTGATAAATAATTCCTCTTTTATGTACCGAAGATGGAAAGGACATTGCCCTAGGGGGAGGCCTTGCCTGCCCCCTCCTGTATTAGCATTCAAGCCCTGGTTGGAATGCTCTCTAGGTTAGATGTGGTCCTCTGCAGTCTTAGAGCAGGTTTGTGACTTCTGAACTTAGTTCAGATAGGTGCGGTATCAGGTTAATAAGATCAAGGTTATGGCGTTCCAGATGAGCCTGTTAACCCTTAGTCTATATCCTCAAACGGCTGAGGAGGGAGGGGTAGGAGAGAGGGAAGGAGAGAGGAAAAAGAAAGTCGGGAGGAGAGACATAGAAAGACAGAGTCAGACAGAGAGGGAGGGAGGAGGAAAAAGAAAGAAAGAGAAGGAGGGAGAGGGGGGAGAGAGAGAGAGAGAGAGAGAGAGAGAGAGAGAGAGAGAGAGAGAGAGAGAGAGAGAGAGAGAGAGAGAGAGAGAGAGAGAGAGAAAAGAAAAAGGGAGAGGAAAAGAGAAGGAAAGAGAAAACTGCTAAACCACTGCTGGAATAAAATGAACAAAACCTCGAAGTACATCCCTTATCTATGGCAAATTATTGTTATAATCTTGTACAAAGTTCAACATTTCAGCATTTTTTTTGCTTTCTTCTTGTAGATAAGCTACTGCATATCGACTCATTTAGAGAGTTGTTGATAAATGACTACTTTTCTTTTGTTTATACTAATTGGTCGAACATTTTATTCAAATGTAGCTATTCATACTCAACTATGACTTCTAAAGTTTCCTTGGAGTGCTTTATTACCCTATGTTTAACAATGCTTTTATGGTTAATGTTGGATTTGGTGCAGAAGTAACCTAGATTTGTCACCAATGGAGGCATCCTCTGCATGGTTTAAAACTTTCGTATTGACATATTTTTATTCTTTTTACATCTCATTCTTTCTAGGGTTTTGTTCATCTCATTTGTAGTGAAAACTGCAGTATCTACTTCCATAAAATTTGTTGGGAAAAGTTCAAGAATATAAACCATTCTGGGAAAAGTGATGAGGTATTACATTGGGGTGTTATTGTTAAAACTTGAATGAAATTTACTTCCATTTACATCTCTTCATTCCATACATCCTTGTGTGAGCTGCTTTGCTTTTGTTCTTCAGAATGATTCTTGGCTTGTAGGAACTTATAGTTTAAGAGATACATTCTGGTTTCTTTGCCAAATACATCAAGGGCACACCAACAACAGAGGCATTCATCTCTGGATAAATACATAGACAATAAAACTCTATTAACATTTCTTATGGGTGGAGCACAGTCATAAATTCTGATTTAACATATTCTTCAAAAGTAAATCCGTAATCACATATTGAAAATCATACAACCCTGAAATTAGTTCTCTACCATTGGAGTTAATTTAGAAGTCTAAAACCCAAGCCCGTAGCAGTTTTCCTTTTCAGTGAGCTAATCACCATAATTTGGAACCTGTAGTATTTGTATTGTTTAAGAAGAAGAAGAAAAATACATTCTAAATCTTGGAGAGTTTCAACAAAGTGCTTTGGATTTATGGAACTTTTTTCTTTAAAGGAGTTCAAAGTGCTTAGCATATCTCGGGGATAGAAGGGGCAGATATTTTCCCATTGGAGAAAGGGAAATCAAGAAAGAAAAAATAGCCTAACTCAAGAAGGTTAGGTCAGAAACAAGTTTAGGACACAGAATTCTCTTCCTCTTTATCTTTTTCCTCTTTACAGGAACTTACTCTGATTTCTGAAATGCAAATTATGTAACAGTTATTGAGGATATATCAATTAATCTACAAGTATTTATTAAGTCTCTAGACAACTGTGCTAGGTTTTGAGAATACTAATACAAAAGTGAGATGGTCCTTGGTCTCACAGAGCTTACATTCTTCTGAGGTGATACACCATTGTTCACAGATATAGAAATGCAGGATATATGCAAAGTAAATAAATATATAGTGATTTTGCAAGGGCACTAACAATGAGAGGAATGAGCAGAGGCTTCATGGAGGAGATGGTACCTGAGCTGAGCCTTGGTGGAGGGGGTGGTCAACTGTATAAAGAATTTCATAGAGGTCAATAAGGATGAAGCTGGAGAATCATCATATATAGCATATGTAGATATATACAAACATATGTGTATATATATATATATATATATATATATATATATATATATATATACACACACACACACACACATATACATATACATATACACATTCTTATGTAATTGTCACATCTGTATCTTTATATACATCTCTCTCACTCTCTATCTCTCTCTCTCTTTCTTTCTCTGTATTTCCAAAGTCTAAACAACTGACATACATATCTTTAGGACATAAGCTGAAGCCTGCCTATACCTACTAGTCAACTCTCTGATAATTGCTAACATTCATTTATCATTCAACAAACATTTATTATGCATTTACTATGTACAAGATACTATACTGAGGTGGTGGGAGTGGGCGCAAAGATGCATAAGGCATGCTTGCTCTCAAGGAATTTATAGTCTAAATTTACTTATCCTTTAAAATGTAGGAGCATTCACTGATTGGTTACCCTTTTATTTTTCAAAAAATATATTTTTAGAGTTTTAGTGAAAAAACATGTTTGAAAAAAGGATGTATTGGTAACATTGTAAAGATGCAAAAATGTGAAGGACCTGGAGTCTTTAATATTCTGGTGAGTACACAGCCTCCTGTGACATTGTTTTTCTTTCAGTCTTTGGCTTAAATAGATACTGTCAGTAAGGAAATCAGAATTTTAGCCACAGTTCTGTCGTTTGCTAATTAAATGGGAGATTTTAGAGGATCATAAAATTTAGAACTGGATAGAATATTAGAGATCATCTAGTATGCATTTTACAGATGTGGAAAATGGGGCTCAGAGAGGGAAATAATCTGTCTAAGCTCATAGAAAGTAGTTAAGGCATAGTAAGGATTATAACCAGATTTTCTAAAGCTGGCTCTGGAAGACAGATAGTGAGAAATCATTGGCTCTTTTCACTATAACACAAGTGTTCCCATTTACCTGTTTCCTGCCTCAGTTTGCGCCAAATAATAATGACTCAGTTCTTTCATGAGACAAAGGTACTATGAAGAGCCGCCATCTAATAATTCAGTTTGACCTGGAAGTTTGACATCTGTAAGACCTTGTTGCAACTCTGCAAAGACTTGCTATACTTTCTTGGAGACTTTCAGAAGCATTTCATCATGTATGCTTTTCAGAAATATTTCCATCTGCTGGGGCAGCTAGGTGGTACAGTGGATAGAGCACCAGCCCTGACGTCAGGAGGACCTGCATTCAAATTTGGCCTCAGACCAAACACTTGACAGCTTACTAGCTATGTGACCCTGGGCAAGTCACTTAACCCCAAGTGCCTAAAAACACACACACATACACACATACACATATTTGCATCTACAAATTTGGTATTTTTCTTCCTGATGCAGATTTTCTGAACAATAATTAATTGTAAAATAAATATGAAAAGAGTATTCTCACTGTCATTGTCATCCTCAAAGGTGCCATACTGATGATGATTTTTAGCTATAGTATATTATGTTGTACAGAGAAGAAACTTGGTCTCTCTGAACTTCATTTTTCTCATCTGTTAAGATGGGGATAATGTTTGTGCTATACACCTCACCAGGGTGCTGTGGAGGAAACATTGTGTTACCATTAGAGTGAGATATAAATGAGGTTTTATTTTGAATCATGCTTATTTGAAAACTTTAAGAATCTGTGATTGGTGAGAACATTCCCTATACCAGTGCAAATGACAGTCAGTCCCTCTGTGCCTTAGTAGATGGCCTCAGAACTTGCTGTAGCCAGAATATTTTATCCTCTGGTGGCTAACCTGGTGACAGTTTCTTAGTTCTAGTAAGACTTGTTCTCATGTGAGAGACACATGGCCTGTCACTGGACCTCAGGCCCTTTCTAACTTGGAAGAACATCCCCAAATTTATATTCCATGAATGTAATCTTTAAGAATTCAGGGCCATTTCCATGCCACAGTAAAATATCAGAATAGGATTTTTGTGGGAGTATTTGGAATAATAATAATAATAGCAAGAGTAGTAGTAATCTTTCCTTTGGAAGCCAGTTTAATAGTGCCTAGCCTGGTGCCTGTCACCTATTAGGCAGTAAATTAATGCTTATTGGTTGATAAGGACAATATAGCCAAGCTCTAAATAGAAACTTTACAATTTTACCTTGAAATTGTAAAATTGTACCGTGGATTAAACTAATAGAATTATAGCATTTTTTAAATCTCTTTACACGTTTTTCAAGTATTTGGACACTGATGTAGAGGACAAGAAATTGGTATGGACCCAAGAGAAAGATAGCTAGTTTGCTCCTGATCTCTTTAGTATATCTCTGTCGGATTTCACAGTGAACAGGGTCAGGGTGATAATAGTTTTAGAATTGGAAGTCACTTTTAGCTTCCTTCATTTTACAAATGACAAAACAAAGGACCAAAGAGGTTAAATGACTAGCCCAAGATGACAAAGGTTGTAAGTAGCAGCAGCAGCAGAATAAGAACCCATGCCCCAGACTCCAAATCCAGTTGTTTCCTCCTATACCATTCTACTTTTTGTCCTGTTTAAAACTTCAATATGCAAAGTAGAGCTGCCTTTTTTTTTTAGAAGAACTGGTCTGTCTTTAATTTTTTTGAAAAATCAGTAAGCATTCAGCTAATTGATCCATTCATTTGACAAGCATTTATTAAACACTACTATGTGGCAGCATTGTCTTAAGCTGATGGGGGATACAAAATCCTTGCCCTGCCCTTATATTTACCTGTAAATGACTATTGAATATGAGGGGAGAGGGAGGAGAGTTTGTCAGGACATCTTTGATCATTTGGTTTTCTGGACCTGTACAGCTGGTCATGTAAAGATCATAGAAAGAGCAGGTAACAGGGACAACAAAGATATGTCTGTACTGTCTTACCCCTTTACAAATTGATGGGATTATAGAGTTGGCCTGTTTCTGGTGGCTTTTAAAAAACAAGCTTGCCAGTTCTAAAAATGGGTTGAGGCAGGAGAGCTCTGAGGAGAGTGACCTCCGGCAGTCTAGAGGAGAGTTATCCATGTAGGAAGAACCTAGTTCTTAAAAGGGATCCCTGTTTGTCTTTTCCCTTTTGTCTTTATGAGGGGATGGAGAGGGGAGTTTCTTGTTCCTCTGCTCCATTCCAGTGGAGTTATTCACCTAGTAGGAGACATCATACCCTGCAGAGAACAGGCACCAGGAAGCAGTCAGCTGGGCAGCCCCAAAGAATTACCCCTGGCATCAGAGAAATGAGCCAGCTGTAGAGTAAAAGAGAATTTGTTCTAGTGGTTGGGAGGTGAGCTGTGAGTGGAGCAGGCCCAAGGAGCTCAAAAGAGAGAACTGCCCAGCAGATACAGTGCATCCAGCAGGAGCAGTGTAAGTGCATGAAAAGAGAAGAAAGGACATCATGTCCTTGCACTGTTGAAGGCATGACTTGCCTTTGTCCTGTGTTCTCTATGTGTGCCTTACTGTTAGTATACTGGTTCCAGTCAGTGTATGCCACTGCTCTCTAAAAACTATTTGTATTTGTGAGAGTGTGCACCAGATTTATGGGAAATGTTTTATGGTTACTATTCTTACTGTTACATTTTAGTAAATGCCTTTGGTTTGAGCTAATGGTTTTTACTGTCTGATCATTAAAAGTAAGCACATTGGTAGAGGCTTGTGAGCTACAGCTTTAGCTTAGGAGTATGGAGCCATAGAGAACCTTGTACTTGTGAGAGTAGTGGTTGCTCCTCTAGGTTCACAACCTGTGATCTGTAAGTTCTGAGATAGGTGGTAGCCCTAGAGAAGTCACCACAAACATATTTGTTTGTATATCCAACACATATGTATTGAATGTATATCTCTCTCTATTTTCCTTTCTCTTCTCTCTCTCTCCTCTGTCTTTCTATCTTTCCTTTTTCTTCTCTTTCTCTTCTTTCTCTTCTCTTTTTTCTTCTCTCTCCTTTCTCTTCTGTTCTCTTCTCTTCTCTTCTGTTCTCTTCTCTTCTCTTCTCTTCTCTTCTCTTCTCTTCTCTTCTCTTCTCTTCTCTTCTCTTCTCTTCTCTTCTCTTTTTTCTCTCTCTCCTCCCATTCCCTTTCTTCCCCCTCTCCTCTCCCCTCCCCTCTCCTTTCCCTCATAAGCACGTACTTGTGCATTGTGCTAAGGTCTAGGGATACAAATAAGAAAAAGACAGCCCCTACCTCATATGAGCTTACAATCTCATGGGGGAAGACAATACACTAAAGGAAACTGAAAGCAGGGAGGGATGACTATGGACATTTGCAGTAGTTGAGGTGAAAGGTGATTAAGGGCTGAATTAGAATAGTGGCTGGGTGAGTAGTGAGGAGATGGATGTGAGAAAGGTTGTGAATCAGTAAGACTTAGTAATTGCATTGGCTCTAGGGAATGTTAAGAAGAGTGAAGATAATGCTGGTGATGTGCATCAGGAAAACTGGAAAGATGGTGATGCTGGAAACAGAAATAAGAAAGTTAGAAAGAAGAGGGTAGGAGATGATTTGTCTTGGATGGGTTAAGTTTAAAATGCCTACAAGGTATCTGGTGGGAAATGATACGGGATTTTAACTCAGGAGAAAGACTAAGTCTGGATATATAGACTAGTTATGGTTTTTTTCCCTTTCGTATTTGATGATTTTTTCCAATTCTTTACTTTCTTAATATACAAGGCCAGGAAACAAGAGCAGAAAGTTTTTGGGTTTTTTTTGGTTTAATGTACATTTGTTCTGATTTTACCTTTTTTTTCCCCCCTCTCTTGATAGTTTGACGTTTTGAAAAAGGATGAATGTATACAAAGGTAAGCACTCATAGTCCCCTGAATCTTTGTAGCTATTTGTGGTTTGAGTTCATATCTTATTTACTTTTTTCCTTACTATGTCTTTTTCATAGTTAGAGCTCAAGGAAGGGATTCTCTTTATGAGATAATTTGAATTAAATTCCCTTTTACTTGTGTAGTATTCAAATACATTAAGTGTGAAAATGACCCTTGTTAAGAGCAGGAGAAGAGAACCTTCCCTAGAATTAGAACAGGTTTCTTTATTCAAAGTTTGTAGGGTGTGGGATTTAGAGTCAGAAGAGATTGTCTAGTAATCATTCTAGTCTAACCCTTTCATTTTACAGACAAAGAAGCCAAAACCTGAGATAGGAAGTGATTTGTTAAATAATTGTTTAGAGAATAAGTATCTGACTAGAATTCAAACCCAGGGCTTTTGATTCCAAACCCAGGGCTAGCGTCCTGCTGTGTTTCATGCTTTAACCTAGATTAGAATGCTCTGATGTTAATGTTTCTTATGAGCCCTTAAAACCCACCCAGATACTGAATATGAGTATAGTTATAGTCACAGCTCTCTGTGTCCTGAGAAGGAAAACTGATAGGAAAGAAGAGTAGGTAAACAGTGAAGGAGGAGAAACAGACTGTATCTGTTAGGGAAGCAGGAGCTTTGGCTATGGAATTGTCTGCCATTCCACAGATAGCTTACATAGTAGTCAGCAAACGTTTGTGAAATGCCTATTATGTGCTAGGTGCTAGGGATACAAATGCAAAAGTTAGATGGTCCCTACTTCGAAGAAGCTTGTTATATTCTGAGCAAATATTTATGCAGAAAAGTAAATATACGATATATTACAAAGTAGGTTGCACCTAATTTCTGGAGAGTGGAGAGGGCACTAGTAATGGGAGTGTTCAGTATAGGCCTCCTGTATGTGGTGGCATGTGAGTTGAGGGTACATCCACATAGAGGAGAAGTATAGCAGCTAGGTAGTACAGTGGATAGAACTCTAGACCTTGAGTCAGGAAGATTTGAGTTCAAATCTCACCTCAGATACTTACAAGCTGTCCTCTTCAAGAATGAAGGATAAACAGCCACAACAGCATTGGTATGATCCTGGGCAAGTTACTTAACAGTCATTTGCCTCAATTTCCTTATCTGCAAAGTGGGATAATAATAGTGCCTGGTTGTTATGAGGATAAAATAAGCTAATATATGGAAAGTGCTTTGCAAACCTTAAGTGGTAGTTGAGTGGAAAAAATATGTGTTGGAGAAAATTGCATCATCATTATTATGATTGCTCTTTATATAGTACTTTAAAATTTGGAAAGCATTTTACATGCATATAAAGTGACATAAAGCCCATCACTGATTATTCCCATTAACACATAAAAACAAATCGAAAGAGGCAGTGTATAGATAGAGGAGAGAGCACTTTACTGGCAGCTGGGCAGGGTGTTGTAAGGGCTTGACCCAAAGGTTCCATTATCTTAGAGATGTACACATAGTACCCATAGTGGAACCTGTATTTTACCTACCAGTATCCCAGGGCACATTTTCCTTACTTGTTTCTCTTTGCTACTGTTGCATTTGCCCTGGATGCCAACATTCCCAGTTTCTGTAGAGTTTAAGCTTAAGGCCTGGCTTTGTGATACTAGGCAGATCAATGAAGGAGACTCATCTTCATCACCTTTGTGGTTGTTGTGAGTGTGGTTTGTCCTTCCTTCTTGAAGAGGACCATAACATCAGGGAGGCGATGACACGGCTCGCATTGAATTGGATTTGAATGAAGGAGGGCTGTACAGAGGTACCAGCCTCACTTCCCCCTGCAGAGCCCTCTGCGTCCAGTGGCCAAATATAGATGAGGACGACTGGAGATGGCCCAGTTTATCACCTGCAAATTGAAGGGGATGGAAGAGATTTCCAAAGTCCCTTCCTTCTCTGAGGTCCTGTAATTCTCTAGTATTGATTATTGGATATATATAAGATGGGAATGGGGGTGGCCTGTAACTGCATCGGTAAAGAGAACTACAAAATGAGGAAACTCCCTCTACTAAGACAAGTTGGCCCCTTCCCTGCAACTCATAGACTGATAAGAGTTGTCTGGTGCACTGAAAAGTTAAATTACTTGCTTTAGGGTCACACAACTAGTAACTGTCAAAGGAAGAACTTGAATCCTGGTTTTCTGGCTTTGAGGATAACTCTGTTGACTATATCACACTGCCTCTCAAATATCAGGAAATTTCTGCTTTTTGCAGTGATTTATCATGAGAATAGTATCTGAAAGAAATAGTTTTATAGTATTGTTTAACCACAGACGCACGTGTATCCTAGCAAGAGGTTTTTGTTTTCATTTATAGTACATTATGGGCCTTTAAGAAATCCTTTAGGTGGGCTGTAAGTATAGAAATGTACTTTAAAGTCTCTGGTATCACTGACTGTAATAAAAAATGGAAGTTTCCTCTTTGAGCAGGAAGCAAACAAGTAGTTTAATTTCTGACCCCTGCTCTGGCTTTGGGGTGAAAAGTAAGAGACAGATTCTAGAATTTGATGATTCTTTCACTTTGTCCATTCCATTCCATGAGAAACTTTGGAATTCTTTTTGCCTACAGCAAATTAAATGTTTCTTTTCTACTTGCAGCTGTTCTAAACAATTCAAGACTCTTCCGGTCACTGAAACTACAAAAATGCAGAAGTTAAATTTAAAAGGTTTCATTTTATTTTTTAATCTTTTTTTTTTTTCTGGAAAGTTGTCCTAAGCTTGTGGTACATATAGATAGAGCAAAACTATTGATTTAGTAAATCTGTTGTAATATGTAATCCCAAAGAATGAAATAAATAAAACTCCATCTTATAATAGGGCACAGATTTTGAAATTTACCTACAAGTTCACAGACAAAATTTTTACTGATTTCCCATGCCATAGAAGTTAAAATTATTTTCATTGTTCTCTTTTGGAAAAGCCACTAAAAGAAAGAGTAGCAAAAGAGTTGTCTCCCTGGATTAATCTATCTCTGACATCTCTAATAAGAAAGCTAATTTTCGATTTATTTACCATGGAGATGCAGATCTCTGCCATGATGATCTATACATACAGTATCACCTCATTTTACATTTCTAGGTCCAAGTAAACTATAACTCCTTGTAATCATTGCTGATTGCTAATTTGGTACAATTTCCAAATTTGCAAAGGACCCAATACCTTATGTTTAATTTATGGAGTCCTTTAGTTCCCAGGGGTTACTACTCAATGGCACAAAACCCTGTGTAGTTGGCTGAAAGGTTTGTGTAATTGTTGTATATTCAAAGTGGTACAATAACTAGAGTGCTGGGCCTGGAGTCAGGAAAAGCTGAGTTCAAATCCAGTCTCTTACGCTTACTAGTTGTGTGTCCTTGAACAAATCACTAAAACTTTGCCTCAGTTTCCTCATCTGTAAAATGGAGATGATAATAATAATAATATCTATGTCCTGGGTTGTTGTGAGGATTGAATGAGTTAATATTTGTAAAGTGCTTAGCAAAGTGCCTAGAACATCATAAACATGATATAAATGTTAGCTATTATTATTATTATTATGTGATCATTGGCACTTCCTTTTCTGACTATACCTGTCTTTGTGTATTCAGGTGATTGTTGGTAGCTTGCTCCAGCTTGCTTATGTGCAATATGTGACTCTTTATTGTTCTTTATTTATACTGATTATAATTTTATGCAGATGAGAAACCTGGAAATGGTAATGACCAATGTCTTCTTGGTCATTCTTTTTTTTTTCCCCAGCAAAAATACTGCTCATGATCTTTTCCATTCTTTGGGAATTTTGTGTTCTTAGAGATATATTTTTAATTGTTCCTTGAATTCTTTTTTTTAATGTTACCTCCTGTGTGGATTTCTTCTATATGTATTTGGTCAGGCTTAATAGACTTTCCCCAATTCCATCTTTGCCAATGCTGCCGAAGGGATAGGAGCCAATGCACTATCATTATTTATTCCATTTTGAATAGTCCGTTATAGGATCTGTAATTGGCCCATATTACTTATGCTTTTGAGCACTGCAAAATCAGGTAGCTAAATGCCCCCAAAATAATGTATGTTGCTATCATTGGGCATATGATGGAACCAATTCCCCAATTCTTTTCTTCTTATGAGATGGGCCTCTAAATTGTCTTTCCATCTGGTCAAAGCATCTTTATGTCCCAGTAGTGAAAATGTCATGATGGATATGGTTTAGTTCTTCCAGTAGGACATCAATAAGCTGGATGTTGGATGTTGAACACTGAGAGTACCACTTAATATTGGTATTGCTCCTAAAATTAAGAGGCACAAAGTTTTAATACCACCTGTTAATATTTTAAGTGACCCCACCACCATCTTTTGTCAAGATGGAAGAGGGCCTACACAGGAATGAGGACCATTATGTATTTTTTAATCTATTTCTTGAGCTGCCTTGACCAAAATTGGCAACTCTAAAGGGGAAACCACATGTATAAAATAGTATTAATGCAGAATATCTTTCTGTTTTATTAGGTGCAGCTTTACTTTCTCAAAATTTCTTTTTAATGAAATGCCAACCTCAAGAACTCATAATTAATTTTTTCCCCCTTTATATAGTTATTATAGCTGGTAATGATATTGTCAGGCAGACTACTTATCAGTCTGTGTTAGTCTCTCCTTGAAAAAAGTATGTATAATACTAAAATACAAAACATTAGAGTAATCTACAAACTTTTGATTTCTTCTTTTGTTTGAAACTGAGTCATATTTTCCAGTGTAGCTTTTGCTCTCTTTCCCTCTGCCCACTTTTTTCTTTTTAAAATTCGTCTTAAATTTTGAATTTGAAATTCTTTCCCCTCTCTCTGATGCTCTCCTACGCCCACTGAGAAAGTAAACAATATGATATCAATTATACGTGTGAAATCATACAAAACATATTTCCATATTAGCCATGTCACAAAAAAACAAGAAGTGAGAAAATCATATTTCAGTTTGTACCCAGACTTCATCAGTTCTCTCTCTGGACATGTATGGCATTTTTCATCAAGAGCCCTTTGGAATTGTCTTGGATCATTGTATTGATCAGAGTAGCTAAGTCTTCACAGTTTATCATTATTACAATATTGCTGTTACTGTGTACAATGATCTCAGTTTTTCTCACTTCACTTTGTATCAGTTCATATAGATCTTCTCATGGCTTTTCTGAAACCATCCCTCTCATAATTTATTATAGAACAATAGTATTCCCATCACAGTCATATACCATATTTAGTCATTCCCCAATTGATGGGGAATTTCCAATTCTTTGACACCACAAAAAGAGGTGCTGTAAATACTTTTGAACCTATAGTTCCTTTATCTTTTTCTTTGATCTCTTTGGGATCCAGGCCTAGTAGTGCTGGATCAAGGGTATGTTCAGCTTTATAGCCCTTTGGGCATAGTTCCAAATTGTTCTCTAGAATGGGCGGTTCAGTTCACAACTCCACTAATAGTTCATTAGTGTACTTATTTTCTCACATCCCCTCTAGCATTTGTCATTTCTGGTACGTGCGAGGTGGTGTATCAGAGTTGTTTTAGTTTGTATTTCTCTAATCAGTAGTGATTTAGAACATTTTTTCATATAATTTCTTCTTCTGAGGCTGCCTGTTCATATTCTTTGGTCATTTATCAGTTGGGGAATGACTCTATTTTTATAAATTTGGCTCAGTTCCCTTACGTATTTGAGAAATGAGACTTTTATCAAAGAAACTTGCTGTAAATTTTTAAAATATTATTTCATTGTCTGTGGTACCTTTTAGCAGAATGTAGCTTCCCTGATTATCTCTGTTAATTTGGTCTATTTTTGCTTTTGCTTTGTCTGAGATCATGATTGTTATCCCTGCCTTTTTTACTTCAGCTGAAGCATAAGAAATTCTGTTCAGCCCATTATTTTAAGTGTGTGTGTGTGTGTGTGTGTGTGTGTGTGTATCTTTTTGTTTCAAGTGTATATCTTGTAAACAATATATTGTTGGATTCTAGTTTCTCATTCATTCTGCTATCTGCTTCCATTTTCTAGATGAGTTCATTCCATTCACATTTCACAGATATGATCACTCACTGTGTATTTTCCTCCATCCTATTATTTTTTTCTCTTTGTCTTTCTCTTTTTGTCCTGTCCATTCTCAAAATGGACAGGTTTTGCTTTTGACCACTGTCTTCCGTAATCCATCCTTACCTCTTGTCACCTTTCTCCCTTTTTCTTATTTTCTTCCTCTACTGCTTCCCTGTTGGGTAACTTCAATTTTTATGCCAACTGATGTGTGTGTGTGTGTGTGTGTGTGTGTGTGTGTGTGTGTGTGTGTGTGTATATATATGTTCTTTGCTGTTTGAACTAATTCAGATGAGAGTGAGGTTCAAGTATTGCCCACACCCCCCATTTTCCCCTCCACTGTAAAAGCTCTTCTGTGCATGCTTCTTTTCTGTGAGATAATTTTCTCCATTCTTCCTCTCCCTTCCCCCTTCTCCCACTGCATCCCTTTTTCTCACCCCTTCATTGTTTTTGGAGATTATCCCAACATAATCAACTCACATCCATGTTCTCTGTCTATTTAGACTCCTTCTAGTTTTCCTAAGAATGATAAAGTTCTTAGGAGTTACACGTATCATTTTCACATATAGGAATGTAAACAGTTTAACCTTATTGAGTCTGTTGTTATTTCTCTTTTCTATTTACCTTTTTATGCTTCTCTTGAGTCTTGTGTTTGAATATAAAATTTTCTATTCAGCTTTGGTCTTTTTATCAGGAGTGCTTGAAAGTCTTCTATTTCACTAAAATACATTTTTTCTTCTGAAAGATTACACTCAGTTTTGCTGGATAGATGATTCTTGGTTGTAATTCTAGCTTTTTTGCCTTCTGGAATATAATAGTCCATGCCTTCCACTCCTTTAACATGGAAGCCACAAAATCTCGTGTGGTCCTCACTGTGGCTCCGTGGTATTTGAATCGTTTCATTGTTTCTTTCTGCCTGCTTGAAGTATTTTGTTTTTTACCTGGGTGCTCTGGAATTTGGCTATAATATTCTGGGAGGGTGGGGGGAAGGAGGATCCTTTTTATTGATGCATTTTTTTCATCAAAGAGTTCCAGGGATCCTGGGCTCTGATAAGTGACCTTTTACCGTATTTTGCCTGGGAGCAGACCTCCACATCACTTCCTGGCTATTTGCAAACCATGCAACATGTGCTTTGACTGTCTTCCTGATCTCTTTCTTACGGCACCCTAGACTCTGTCCTGTGGACCAAGCCTTCATCTCATTTTGTTCAGAACCAGGCCTCTACCTCACTTTCTAACTGTTAACCAAAACATGGACTGTCTTCTTTGCTTGAATTTTATCCCTAATGCTAAGCACATTGTGATTAATAGTTGCATATTAATTCATCCATCACCTTTCAGTCATTTTTGGAAATGTCCTTCCCTCATGTATCTTTTGATACCCTCCCTTGTATCAATAAAACAAAACAAAACATTAAGAAGCAGCATTCAATACAATGACTGCATATGACAATGGATAAAGCATTCTGCCCGGGTGCTTCCCTTTCTCTCTGCTATGAAGAGGGAAGTATTATGGGCGTGTGCTTGAACCAGCTCATATCACCTTGGGAGAGCCGATTGTTAAATTTTGAATGTGAGCATTTACCTGATGGAAACTGGCAAATGCTACACAACGGCCTTAATTTATTGTTTTGTTGACTGTCTAGACTTAAGGAAGTTTTAATAATGTAGATCAAACTTAAAAATATATCCTACATACATTTTTTAAAAGCCAGTTGTTAAACATTTAGTACCACCCCTGCAGGTAAAGTGTCATTATTTGTCCTCTGGAGACTTTTCTTGATTTTGTAATTACTTAGAATTTGGCTTCCTTTTAGTTGTAGGGTTCTTAACCTGGAGTCTGTGAACATGTTTCAAAATTTTTAAAAATTTCTTCTCGTATATTTTAATTTCATTAAATATTTCCCAGTTCTATATGTAAAAAAATTTTAATTCATTTAAAAACATTTTTAGTTACAAATTCTCTCCTTCCCACCCTTTGAGAAGGCTATCAGTTATACCATAGAGGCATGTAAAACATATTTCCATATATGCCCTTTTGCCCCAAAACAAACCAAAAAAAAAAGCAAGAAAAATAAAATGGAGTCTCTGCACTCAGGTTCACCGATTCTTTCTGGAGATGGATAGCATTTTTCATCAAGTAACTTTATTTTAATGTAATGTTTCCTTCGTAATCTTGTGTATTTTATTTTATGCATTTAAAAGCATCATTTTGAGAAGGGGTCCATAGGTTTCCCTAGACTTCGCAGGGGAGGGAGGAAAGGTAAGAATCCCAATTTAGTGGTATTTTCACATGCCCGCTTCCGTTCCTTTTGCACTCTGTACCTTGGGCCTGCTCGCTTGGGACACCCTCAGGGGGACCCCCTGTCACTCAGCCCTCCTAACCAGTCAGAGGTGCTGTGTTGAGTAAGCTCCTCCCTGGAAGGGGGCGGGCTTGTAGCTCTTTCAGCCAATGGCTGGGGAGCACTTCCCCTCGCAGGCCACCCTGTGCCAGAAGGTCCCAGGAGGCGGTCGGGTTGGGTCACTGCGGCTGTCCTTGGAGCTTTACTCTCTTCTCACCTCCTGAGTTATCTCCTCCGATTTAATTCAGAAGCTCATTTTCCTTCTTAGCTCTTGACCTACTTCAGTGGCTGTGGCAAGTATTCTCAGGGATCTTCTTCAAATGGAAAAAAGGGGAGGTTGAGGGATGAGGGAATAGTACACCCCGCCCCCCCATACCCTCACCCCTGTCGCGCTTCTTATGGTAGGAGCAGAGCTAGTTACCTTGACCTTTGACCTACCTCTCTCTAATCCTCCCCTCCCCCCAAATCACAGTCTGGTCTTTCTGTTGTGGCCGAGTGACCTGAATTTGGCTATAATGGTACACCAAAAAAAAAACAACCCAAAAAACCCCACAACCCAACAAAAACCAAAACCAGCCAACCCCCAACAACTTGCTCCTTGTATCCCTGTGTCTTTAGGCATTATGTCATATGGAGCAGTCAAAACTCTTGTTTATCTTATTTTCTAAAATTTTTTAAGGTTTTGATACTTAATTCTAAAGAGAGCCCCTAGACAAAAGTGGGGTAAATGGAAAGAATCAAGGTGCCCATTTCTGTAATCACTTGCAGAATGAAGCAGGTGTAGAAGTCTCTGGTGTTTTCTCTCAGTCCTGGTTTTATCACAGTAAGGGGTTTGTAATGTATATCCGTCTGAACTTCATTTTTATACTGTAGGAGTGGCTGTGAAATCAGGACTGAATTCTCATAGTAAGTGTATCATTCATTTGTTTATTCACTAAACAAATGGGTACTTAGGACCAGTTATATGACATATATGTACTGTGATAGGTATTAGGGAAGATGGAAATATAAATATGACACAGTCCCTGCCTTAAAAGCAATTACAGTAATGTGGTGTGACTCATAATTAGAAACTTTTATTCTCATTGACAGTTCGATTAATAAGAATTTGAATTCCTATTATTATTTTTGTAGGCCATCAGGGACTTGTCCAGGGTCACACAGCTAGTAAGTGTTTGAGGGCAGATTTGAACTGAGGTCCTCCTAACTCCAGGGCTGGTGCTTTATCTGCTGTGCCATCTGATTGCCCCAAATGCCCCAAATCATTTTTAAATGCCACCACTTCCTCCTCCTCCTCATTGTTAATTCTAGCTCCTTTACATTTATTTCTTTCTCACCACTGTAGTTCAGACTCTCATTGTCTCTCACCTGCTTTGTTTAGTTTTTTTCTTTCTTTTTTTTTTTTTTAGGCAATTGGGATTAAGTGACTTGGCCAGGGTCACATAGTAAGTGTTTGAGGCTGGATTTGAACTTAGGAAGATGAGTCTTCCTGACTCCAGGCCTGGCACTCTATTAACTGGGCCACCTACCTGCCCTTTCCTCACCTACTTTTCTGTATTAGTATCTGAATAGATCCGTTTTTAAAAAGCATACATCTAACCATGTCAGCTCCTCCAGCTCAAAAACCTTTCAGTGTCTGCCCATTACCTGTAAGATGAAAACGAGCTCCATAACTTGTTATTTAATACTCTAAACGATTTGGCCCTGTTACCTCTCTTTCCAGCGTTGTTTCATGCCATTTCTCTTTATAGTTTTTTCCCAAACTAGTCTAATTTATTAATTGTTGCTCAGATTTAATATTCCATTTCCCAACTCTGTGAATTAGCTATCCTTGGTGTCTGGAATGGACTCTTTCCTTATTTTTACCTTGCAAATCCTTGTCTTCTCTCAAGGCTCGGTTTAGGTGCTCCCTTCTCTATAAAGCTTTCTGCAGTCTCCTTTCCCTCTACTCCCCAGCTATCTATACTCTATCCTGTTTCAGTTTATATGCGTTATATACATATGCCTCTCTCCCATTCCCTTAGTAGTAAGCTTCTTAAGGTCAGGGGCTGTGTTGTTTGTGTCCTTGCATCCTCATTCCATACATAGTGCTTGCTCAGTGTGTATTTGTTTGTTGTTCTTTAGTTCAATTCAGTAACTATTTATTAAGCACCTACTGTTTGCTAGACTCTGCTTTAGAGTTTACAAAGAACTTTGTTAGTCTTCACAGTAACAATGTGAGGGAGGCAGAGTATATTTTATGATCTCTATTTTAAAGGGGAGAGACTTTTCTAAGGTCTCTTATCTAATAAATGGTAAAGGTGATGCTAAAACCCATGTCTATGGGTTTCCACTCTATCATAATAATGACAATTAGCCCAAGTTATTTGTGGCTAGATTTTGAGTTCTTTGTCTCTGATATTTAGGTTGTAATCTAGAAGAGATCTTTCAGGATGAGATACTAGAACAGAATGCATCTCCAGTAGACTCTATTAAAGATATGAAATCAGACCCAGAAGAACTGCCGCAGCAGAAATTCCTAAAGATGAAAAATCAGCACCCAGCGAATCTTCTATAGAATCTATTAAAGATGTCCATGAGGTATAAATTCTTCTTAATTATAGAAACATGGAATTAGACAAGACTTAGGTCATTTAACCTACCATTCATTGTTACCACCATGTATAACTATACCCAAAACATTCCTGACAGATCCTGTTTTCGAAATCTTAAGGGAACCTCCCTTTGGCAGGTAGGGAAACAAAGACACTAGAAGGATTCCATTTCCAATACTCCTGTCTAGTCTACTCTATGTCTGCAGTCAGCCCTAATTCCTCACTTACTAGAAAGGAGAGAGGGAAAGAGGCCAAGAGAGGCATAGGAGAACAGAAATGGGCTAGAAAGGTTAGCTAAGAGGGATGCTTCTTCATAATTTGCACTCAGTCTCTAGTGATAAAGGGCTGAACGAGTAATCAGAGGATTAACTTCAATTTATTTCCCCCCCCCCAAAGACTTGGTAATATCCTTTATATTCAGCAAGTAGTGCCATAAATTTTTAAATTGCCCTTGAAATTATTTGTTAAATCCAAGCATCATTCTCAAAGGGCCTTTCCATTTGTTGTATGTGTAAGTGTTGATGTTTCAGGTGATGACTTAAAACATCTGGAGCCTTAGTATGAATGTCTAGTAATGCCCTTTTGTTTTCTTCATTGTGTTCTCCAGAGCAGGTGAGATTGTGGGACTTCCAACATAAAAGATAGTAGCTCTGAAAAGAAACATAGTCGTAGTAGAACATTAGAAAAGGAAAGGTTACAATTATTTGATTTCAGTGTAAAGCCTGGGATGTGGAATAGAACTGAAATTCTTCATACATAACAAAATATTCCCTGTGGTTTTATGTTTGCTGTAGTGAATTGTTTGTAATGACATGTCCATTACAGAGTGCTCAAGTTAATAATAAATTAAAGAAGAAGAAAAAGAATAAGACTAAGAAGGTAAGAGCAATAGTAGCCATATTACAAATAGTGTCTGAGAAATGTTGTGTAAGGAGACTGTTAGCATGGATAATTCCTAACAAAGAAACGATTTATTGGGTATTTTATATATGTCAAGATCTCACAGTTCCTTCAAATGATAAGTTGACCTATAAAAAAAATTTTAAGCCCCTTGGCTTGATGATACATGGTTAAAATAAAGTATTATTTACCAAGTCAGATTTGTCAAGTTAAAGGTACTCTGTCAAGATAACGATCAGTCATCAGAAAACCAATCCTTGACTGTCATTTTTAACAAGTGAGATTATAAAACCAAGAGAATTTGAAACAGTTAATTTATTTTTTTCTACATTTATACTGAACACTTGAATGTAATACATCTATTCACTCTTGGAGCTTAAAATCAATCCAGGTAGAGAGGTAGCTAAAACAGTTTAAGAGTTCTTGTGTATATTTCTTGGCATTCTGCGATCTGAATGGTTTAATCTGGAATTTTTGGTTATGTTCAACTTTACTTACATATTTTCATGTGTAAATCTTCATAATGTCTAGATTAAAAGTCACTTGGAAAGTTTTATTCCTTTCTATCTAGAGATAGTTAAAAATCCTAATCCTTTAAAAATGCATTTTAGGCTTCAGTATTGCAATAGCACCATCATTTATTTTCCCCTCAGGCATTTAATCACCTTGCAGATGTTTAGGAAATCTTGATTTTCTTTTTCACATCTGAGAGGGTGTAAAGAATTCACTCTTACCTGTGTGAAAGGAAGAACAACCTTCCTTTATCCAACCTCCACAAATGTGCCTAATTTCTGTAGTGCCTAATTTTTTTTTAGGGAGCTGATTTGATATTGGAGACTATAGTTAGACCTGGATTTCTTGTATTCTGAGGAAGCACATAGCCAACTGTGACTCATGGTTCTGTGATGAAAAAATTGCTGTTTCCTGACTGGTTGTATGAGAAGGAAACTGAGATCTTGTTAAAATTCACATATGTGTCAAAGTACATTGTGAATAAGGGTATTTGTCTAATTGCTCTCTGGCTAGGCTCCTGTGTAAAACAGAAATGGAATAGCCCCAAGCATTGATGTTGAATAAGATTAAGAAAAAGTGAAGCCAATTGAAAAATAAAACAGTTGATTTTATTGAGTTAAACTGTAAGTTATAAACAAAATTGTTAATAGACCAGTTTGGCTAAAAAGTTTTTTTTTCTTTTGTAATTGCTATTATACTTTCTGTATCATTATTTAGTATGCTACAGCTTACTGTTTGACTTAATAATTCTTTTAAAATTAATTGATTTTAAAGACTTGAATTAAGATTTTTCTTTTGGAAAATTCCCTTGTGCTAAAGCAGATAGGTTATCTAGATTGCAGTTAAACTGATGATCCTGTTTGGATACATCCCACTTGTGCATGTACACTTGTCATTTTACCTCCAAAAAGCAGGCCTAAGTTGCAGTGCCATTAGACAGCTTCCTATGGGTCACTGTTGTTTCCTGTTCTTTCATTTGAAAAAATGCAAATCATACCTAGTTGTCACTGGTCACACAGGCTCAGATAGTCATACTGCCAGATTAAATGCAATACTAAAGGAGAAGAAATAAAATCATTTAAAAGTACAAATGCTATCAAAAAACAACTTTTTGAAAAAGTTTCAATTTGTTCAGAATTTTAAGGTTTTCCATTTTAAAGGGGTACTATCAAGATCAGTATTTTTAGAAACATGGTGACTTACCCTGATAGAGAATCATATTAGGAGTGGGATAGAGTTGATTCTAGTCTAGAAATTATCTAGTGCATGACTGTACATATCTAAATGGAGGAAATATATAATATAAAAATGCCTATAAATGTATACTATGACTGCCTTAAGCAGACCCATTTCAACTATTTTTGTTCCTTGATTTCACTAGGAATCACTGTGATTCCTGAGACCAAAACCCTCTTCGCCGGCTCCCACTACTGTAGGTATTTTGTATCTACATAGGGCACATAACACACATAGTGTTATACACACATAGCACATAGTTGAGTATTTATTCTTTCATTCACACACTCAGTTATTCATGTTGCAGGTGTAGGCTAGTGTTACATACCCTATACTGGGGGCAGTATAGGCAGTTTTGAAAAGGTAAATCTTAACATTTAGCTCTCAACAGAGAGCAGTCAGGCAATAGCTTGAAAACACACTTCCCAAATCAATCTTCCAAGTTTTAAATATAGACAGACCATTACCCTATGCAGACATAGTTGAATCTTCTGCTAATTCTTTGTGCTCTCTTTCAGAATAAAGAGCTGAATAAAGAGCATAGGTAAGTGTCTGTTTTTGAATGCATGTGAAGAATGCCTAACCAATGTCCCACAGCCCTGGAGTCAGGAATTATTTTCACTAAGGGCAGGGGAGGAGAGTGGCTTAGTCCTTGTAACTTTTTTTGTGCTATAGAAGAATGGAATTGCTAAGCCCTTTTCTTTGTAGTCACTAAAGAGCAGTCTAATCTTAATTGCTTACATTCAAGTACTGACTTGGGTTCAGTTTGAATCCAGTTTAGAACAATTCAGTACACTTCTACCCAGCCAGTATTTAGTGAGCAGCTGACTCTGGGGCTGCTGCTAGAGTAGATGTAGGGGACAGGAACAAGACATGGCCCTTGTTCTTAGAGAATCGACCCTAGTAATAAAATACACGCCAGTTCTCATTACCAATCCCAAATGCTTTTCTCTTGCATGTCTCTATTCCTGCCCTCTTTGCAATAGAGAGAACTTTATTCTCATGGCTGACAAAGAATTTTTGTTTTGGCTGGAGAGGCAGTATGATTTAGAGAATAGAGCACTGAGCTAGAAACCAGGAAACCTGGATTCTAGTCCTGACTTCACTACTTGTTAGTTATGTAACCTTGAGCAAGTTGTGTGATACCTCTGAGCCTTAATTTCCCCATCCATAAAATAAATGCATTGTCTATAAACTTCATAGGATAATTGTGAGAATTAAATGAAAAAATGGATGTGAAAGTGCTGTCAAAATTGTAGAAATGTAAACTATCATTATTTGAATTTTGTTATTAATAATGTTAATTATTGAGGGATAATTTTTTATATAAAAACTATGGTATACAATTTTGCATTTCATTTGGTAGAACATCATTTGTAGAGGGAAGGAAATAGTAATGAAGAAATGATGATAATGGTAATTATTATCATGTTGAAAATGATACTTTCCCCATCTTCCCATTAGAAATGTTACACCTAGGTTTTAGTGACCTTAGAGTTTCTTGTAAAGACGTAGTATACAGCATAGTTAACATTAACAGCTGTGACGTACTTTTGACTTCAGTGGAAATTTTGCAAACTGAAAATCTATGATTCTTGGGTAGTAGTATGCTCATCACTGATAGTGGACCTCAGTTACTTAGTGATTAGAAATGACTCATCTTCACAAGGGACGTTGATTCTTATAGAAAAGGAAGGTACCAGCTTAGACACGGTGGCGATGTTTTATTCAGGCTTTGTCTATACAACAGCTGGACAAATGTTTGATAAATTTAAATGTGATCATTCACTTGTATCAGAGTATGCATTCTGACATGACACACTCGGGTCCACTTTGGGAACCCTTCACTTCTTTTAGCTCATTGTTCCCACCTTGGTGGAATCTGGTGTCTGGCCCCTTCCCAAGGATTACCACCAGTTCTTATTGTAAGTACATAGGATCACAAGGCGTAGATCACTTTTATTTACACAGTAAAAGCTATAATAGGATTCTGAAACCATAAATAATCAGTATGCAAAGTGGTGAGCTACTTTGTTCCTACGTCACCCCAGAGATATGTAGTATCCTGAGTAGGGCCCAGGAAGGAGGAGATTGGTGCTTCCTCTTCCATGTCAGCATAATGTGTTGTTGTTGTTGTTGTTGTTGTTGTTGTTGTTGTTTTTCTAGTAACTCTTTCTTTCTTTGTTCCATTGCTCTGCTGCTACTCTCCTCCCTTCCTGAAGGGAGTTGTGGGTTCTTCTCGACACTGTTGTTGTTCTCATTTCTGCTCCTATGCTCCCTGTTCCTCTGATCATTGAAGTTGCAGCTATTTCTCACCCTCTAGACATCAAGTACCTCTGGTTTAAACGTTTTGTTGTTTTACGTACATTCTAGTCCTTCAGCTCCTGAACACTGTGCCTCTTAATTACATCAACCCCTTCCATTAAACCTTTGGAGCTTGGCTAAGGGACTCCCAGTATCTTTTTATTTATATGCTTTTCTCCTGCCTTTCTTTAGCTAGGCTAGGTCATGCAGATTATCTAAGAGTGCTTCTTTGAGTATCTTCAAAAAAGAAGGGTGGAGCTGGTGGCTTTCAGAGCCTGCACCCAGTGTATGCCCAGTGACTCAGAGGGTGAGTTGTTATGCTAGCAACTACAAGTAAACCAGTAGCAATACTTTCTCTAGCTCTGCTTCCGCTAATCAGTCTCCCTGTCAAAGAGACAGAGATACCTGAGGTCATGTCTTATGCTTGACCTTGTATCCCGTTTTTCTGTGTTCACCTAGAAGGGCAGATTTTGGTTTAATATAAAGGGATTCTGCCTAATAATTAAAACAGCTCCCAGAGGGACCATTAAAACTGTCTAAAATAGAATAGCTGTCTAATGGAGTATTGAGTTCTTTGCATTTGGAGATCTAGGTAAAGGCTGAAGGACTACTTATCAAGATTGTGGGTTTTTTGAAAATAGTATTTGAGACAATTTTGAGACAAAATTAGATAATTTTTAACATTCATTTTTTATAAAATTTTGGGTTCCAAATTTTCTCCTTCCCTGCCTTCCCTCCCCCTTCATAAAACAGTAAGCAGTTTGATATAGGTTGTATATGTGTTATCATGTAAAACATAACAAGATTGTTATAGAGAATTCTCTAATAAATGTATCAGGTATGTATTGGACTTTTATCATATCCGCTCTTGAGATTATGTGAGTTCTTGTGTGTTCCTTTCTGTCATGGGTGACATTTCTTTCTGCTCATTAGCAGGATCAGGTCAGTCAATAGCAGGGGAACATCTGTAACCCCATATTGTAGCTAAAAAAAAAAAAAATCCCAAGCCAAAACTACTGAATCTTGGGGAATAAGAGAACTGATGTCTCTGAAGGACTTAGTAATAAAGCATTTAAGCTTGAAATATTAGGTTTGTAGGTTTTTTCATTAATGTTGAATTGGGAATTCCTGTTTGGTTTGTTATTGTTGTAACTTTGGTGGTATTTCATTGGTTTCTCAGTGGTTTCTATCGCTGGAATTTTGGATGTTATCAAGATTTTTTAAAAGGTATTGTTTTTTAAAAAAAGACCCATCTTATACAGCTATTTCTGATTCTCTGTAAAGTTAACTTGGACCTTAATAGTGAGATTGTAGCAATAAGGTACAGTTTTTATTTTTGTATTTTTTTTGTTCTAAGGGATAACATTGAAATTATTCATTTTAAAATTAGTAAATAATTCCTGGTGAAGTTGGCTTTAATTTTAAATATAAGCAAAAACCTAATTTTGGTGGCTAGTAGAGCCAAACTAAGTTCATAGTAATTTCTTCTAAAGTAATACTAGGATTTAATGTGATACAATGTGAACAGCCCTGGGATTAATAATTAGGAATTGTACATTCAAGTCTTGGCTCTTCTACTAACTAGCTGTGTGACCCTAGGGAATTAGACTTTCCTTCCCTGCCTGACTTACTGTCTTCCTGCTTGCTTTCTTTTTTCCCCTTTTCCCTCACTTCCTTCTCTTTTCCTCCCCTTCTTTCTCCCTTCTTCATCTTCTCTGTCTCCCTTGCTTCCTTCCATCTGTCCATGTCTTTCAATAAGTTAAACAAATGTTACGTCTTTGTTAAACAAAATGTTAAACATTATTAGGTTCTGAGAAGCATATCAAGTTTGATTAAAACAATCCCTGATCTCATTGAAGCATGTAGTAATATAGGGGATAAGATAAAAACACAGTCAATAAGCATTTATTAAGCACCTGCTGTGTGCCAGGCACTGTGTTAGGCACTGGGAATACAAAGAAAGGCAGAAGACAGCCCTATATTTGAGGAGCTCATAATCTAATGGAGAAGACAACATACAAGCAATTAGGTACAAAGAAATAGATACAGAATAAATTGAAGATAATCAACAGTAGGGAAGGCACTAGCATTAAGGAGGGTTGGGAAAAAACTTCTGGTAGGTCAGGTTTAGCTGGGAATTGAAGGAAACTAGGGAAGCCGGGAGGGAGAGAATTTCATGCATGGGGTGCAGCCAGTGAAGATGCCTGGAGTTGAGAGATGGTTTATCTTGTACAAGGACACCAGTGTCACTGGATTGCAGAGTGTGTGGGGGTGAGAAGGCTGGAGAGAATTAGAGGTGAAATGGTCAGACCTGAAATTGAGGAAGCTCAATTTGACTTCTAAGTTGGAGAGTGGATTAGAATGGGGAGAGACTTAAGGCAGGGAGACCAACCAAAAGGCTCATGCAGCAGTCCAGATAGGAGGTGATGAGGGCCTGTGCCAGGGTGATGGCAGTGTCAGAGGAGAGGAAGGGGGCTTATGAGTGATGTTACCAATGCAGAAATGACAGAACTTGCTGCCTGATTGGGTATGGGGGAGTGAAAAGTCAAGGACGACACCTGGGTCTCGAGCCTGGGCGACTGGGAGGATGGTGGTACCCTCCACAATAATAGGGAATTTAGAGTGGGGACTTGAGGGAAGGACAATGAGTTTGGCTTTAGACATACTGAGTTTAAGATGTCTGTGGGATGTCCAGTTAGAGATGTCCAATAAACAACTGGAAACATGAGACTGAAAGTCAGGGAGTGGTTAGGGCTGTACAAGTAGATTTGAGAATCATTAACAGAGATGCCAATTGGCTGTATGGGAACTGAGGGGATCACCAAGTGAAACAGTATAGAAGGAGAAGAGAAGAAGGACCAGGACAGAGTACTGGAGGATACCCACTGTTAGCAGCTATGTGCTGGATAAAGATATAGCAAAGGAAACTGAGAAGTATTGGTCAGCTAGATAAGAAGAGGAACCAGGAGGGAGTAGTGTCACAAACACCTTGAGAGAAGTGAGTATCAAGGAGAAGATGGGGCTTGACTGCCAAAGGCTACAGAGAAGTCCAGAAGGATGAAGATGGAGAAAAGGCTTTGGCAACTAACACAGATAATTATAATCAACAATGTTACATAGCAGGTGCATCAGACTTAAAAAATAAAGTACTATTTAATATCTGAGAGAGAAAGACATTAATGACAGGGACATCAAGGAAGTTTTCATAGAGAAAGTGACGTTTGAGATAGACTTTAAAGAATGAGTAGGAATTTAGCTAGTAAAAAGAGAGAGGGAGAACATTCCAGGTACTGGGAATAGTTTGAGCAAAAGCACAGAAGTGGAAAAGAGCTGAATGTGTCAAGGAAATGCAAATTAGTCCAGTTGGACAGATGTGTAGAATGTATGGAGTGGAATTGATGAGTTATCCTAGAAAGGTAGAGTGATTTTAAATACCAGACAAGGGAGTTTGAATTTTATTTGGTAGGTAGTAGGTAAGCACTGCAGATATTTTTAGTGGGTGTATGATATGACCAGATCTGTGAAAAAGGAAAATTATTCTCCCAGGGGTATCAAGGTTGGATTGGTATGGGGAGAGAACAGAGAAAGTGTAAGACTTTTCAGGAAGCTGTTGCTTCCTTTTAATTTATAGAACAGTTGGAAAGGATTCTTAAGGGAGTATTTTTTTTAAGAACAATTCTTTTGTCTTGGCTTGCATAAGAAGATCTTGCTATTAAAACCTTAGCAACATAGCAGTGACGCAGTATATAGTCCAGATGGTTAGTAATGAGGACATGTAAGATGCATACAAATTTCAGTATTCTGGATATGAAAGATGGTAAAGTGTAAGGGGGTAACTGATAGTATATGGTTGAAGTGGGGTAGACACAGAAGTCTGTCTTGGAATTGAGGAAGTTGAGTGACTATGGTCAGGTTGTTAGAGGAATCATTAACATGAATATTGATGCCCCCAGAACGACAGCAGGCATGGAACTGGAGAGGGAGACTCTTAAGTCTGAAAGCTATTTATTTGAATTTCCCAGCAATTCGGAAGTAGAAGTAAAATTTACCCCAAATCTTATTCTGTCCTCTACTATGGCAATTTAATAAAAAAGATAGCAAACATTATTTAGTTTTTAAAAACCATTAATTATATCTTCACAAATCTGTAAAATCCTCTCAAAACATGCCATTTTAAACTTAAAGTAGAAAGGAATCTAAGAAGCAGTTTTGGTATTTTCAAATGTTAAGCCAACAAAGTTTATGTCACATATTTAGAAGATGCTTCTAACAATGCCAGAAACATTACTGTAGATGTAATTTGTTTGATCACTGAATGGATTTCAGTCTAGGTATATTTCTTAGCTTTTTCTCTTGGTATGATATCTTGTCATAAGCAATATCAAACAGCCATCTTTGATTTCAGTTTCAGAAAGCTGCTTGGAAGAGGATGGTAGATGACTATCACAAGGATGGGGAGTGGGTGCTAGAAGCTCATTACTGTACTCAAAAAAGGGAGGATGAATAATCTTGGAGCAGAAATGGGGAGTGAGGAATATGGATGGACACTCTCCCACCAAGCCTCATGAGTTGAATCAGGAAGGAAATGGGTCCTACACTTGGATATACTGTTCTCAGGAAAGATCCAGGTTTCAGTTAAAGTGAGGGGATAGTAGGAATGATGGTTAAAAAGTTCAAGGATATAAAGGTGTTTGTTGAGAACTGTAGTAGGGGTTCCAAAGGCTATAGTACCAGGTCTTGGAGGTGAAGCTGGGCTGAAATATGCCTGGAGAAGAGGAAGGTTAATTAAAATAGGAATGTAGGTTTGGGAACCACTGCATTGGGAGGTAGATTTTGTGCTATGAATAGATTTTAGATGTTAGAGGACTTGCAAACTTAACTTGTTCCAGGCTTTTGAAAACAATTTGGAATACTGATGTTTTGGTATGTGCGTGCGGGAAAGCCTGGCCTCAAGTTTTTTCTGAACGTTTTTCGGAATGTCTCTACCAATGCATAGCTCCCCCAACAAAGTACCAGTGTAACAATCTCCCCCAGTCCCCAGCCTGCCTCTCAGATATTGTGATGGTAAAATGAGTAGGAATGTTTGGATGAAAAGTATTGATGTAAATTTTTTAAAAATCATTTTAATTATTTCTCCATAGTCCAAATGTCCTAAGAAAGGAGGAACAGGTAGAAAAAGTTCAAGATTTAAATCCATATCTGAGTAATGGACCAGATAAAAAGAACCCATGTGATCTCCAGTGTGATCCTGCCTCTGAGTCCTGTAGCCCAGCTCAGGCAGGCACCCCAGACTTCTCAGACCAGGTAAGCTTGGCTGGGCCCGACCTGTCTGCTTGTGTAAGGAAGTGACTCTGCCTGTCTCCTTGTGAAAGAGGTTTTTTAAAAAACTCAATAATAATCCTGTTACTTTTCCCTCAAAGCAAGAAGACAAGCTCTGGGGCATTACAAGGGGACCAAATGAGGGGTACTTCTTAGTTTTACTTCTCAAAATCCATGTACTCTATTTTGAATGCCAGGAAATTCCATCCTCTGTGACTTTGAGATGTTTATTTTAAATTGTCTAGTCACATGTATTCTAATGAAGGTTCAGAGTTTCTGGTAGATGATAGCATAAGAGGTACAAGTACAGAGGGCTGCAATTTTTAAACCTAGCCTGGGGTGATCTAGGCCAATCCAATTCAATAGGTATTTATTTAGATGCCATGCAAATGCCTTCTACATTAAAATCTCTACTCTCTTCCTCCCCCCCCCCATTATTCTAAGCTCTCTGGGAAGCATTTAGCTCAAATAACCTGTACTATGTTTGTCAATTGAAGAGACAAGGAACAACCTATTGAACATTAGAAACAATATTTCCTTATTCCAAATGCTTGTAAATTATTGTTGGGAAGAAGTAATTAGAAATTAATTGCTAAAAAAAAAGATTTCTGCCCATTAAAAGGAAAAACAAATTCCATCAGTGCAAATATCATTAAAAGGAAAGGTTCTGTAAAAAGATGTCATTTCCATTCTGGTGATCCCTTGTAATGGTGTTTTTTGATCTGGTTAGGACAAATTCTCCAAGACAGCATGTTGTAGAGATATGTGGGGAGGCAGTGTAAATAATGCTGGACACAGAGTCAGAGGACCTGGGCGCAGTTCCCTGTTTGACTGCTCGATGCTACCCATGTGCCCCAAGCAAGTCATTTAACCTCCAGGGCCTCAGTTCCTTCATCTCTAAAATGAAGGGGCTGGACTAGATAGATAGCCTCTGTGGTCCTTTTCAGCTTGAAATCTATATCTCCCATAGTTTACAACAGCTGCTCTCTCTGGCTTGGCAGCAGTCTCTGCTTTTAATGAAGTTACCTGATTGTGTATTGTTTGCGCTTCAGCAGGTAGGAAGATGTGTGTTAACAAATGTCTTAATTAGGCAGAGTAGATGATAATATTAATAAATAATTGTGAGTGTTTTTTCCTCAAAGGCAGTGTGGGAATCCCTCCCATGGATAATTAAGGACTCGCTGTATTGAGAATTGACTATTAATAGCCAGAGTACTAGTTATTAATGGAATGGCATTTATGGATGTGGATACATTAATACATTCTTGAGAAGATCACAGTTAACAGATGATTTCCTGACTGATAGTGGTACATTCACCTAATTGATGTACTTTTCTTTCCTTTTCAATCATGAGAACAGAGTAAGCCTTTTGAAAGTAGAGTATCATTGCCAGTCTTGGCTGTCACCTTGAGGATTAAATAGTGGCTTTCTGTCCTCAGTGACATGAAATTTATATGTTTCCCATTCAACAGCCACAACAAACATAAAACCAGATCAATGTATCAGAGCACCTCTGGTCGACCCAGCATTATCTCACTACACCTTTAGACTGCCCCTCTAAAAAGCTGAAGTAAGAATCCCTTTCTGGGGAAAAAGCATAGTTTCTGCTGAACCAGAGCTCAGAGACTCGTTTCTTTCCCCTCTCAGGGCACAAGGAACAAACCAACCACAAAACATATAAAAAGTCAAGAGGAAACCGGGGAGCAGCAGCAGCAGCAGCTCTGGGAAGCACGGAGGCAATGTGCAGTGAGCATAATTCCTTTTACTCCATTCACTCCAATTCTGAGAAGAATCAGAGAATCTCGCTGTCAAGTCACTTAACCTCTTCGAGACAGTTTATTATCTGTAAAGTCTGATAATGCCTCTAAGACCTTATGTGAGGCTCAACTATGATAATGCCTGTAAAATGTTTTAACTTTTCCCATAAAGATTGCTGTTATTATTATTATTCATTATAAGTTATAATTTATTGTTGATTATACATTATTATATTGTTATTAATTATTATTAGTAGTAATATTATTTCAAACAGCATTTGCCATCTCTACCTTTTCTCGGTGACCTGAATAGCATTAACTAAGATATGCTACTTTTCCTTTAACAGGACTTCAAAAAACAGTTGGAAGCCATGGTTCTCCAGTGGCAACAGAAGCAAGTACAGATTAAAGAGAAAGATAAAATCATTGCTGGTCTTAACCAACAAGTTTCTTCTGGAAACCACAAGGTTTCCAAGTAAGTGCAAAGCTTTGGCTTGGTAGCTGAAGGGAAGCTGTGGCTCTGCAGTTCAGTACAGGACGGGCTCTAGAACAGAAAAACCACATCCACGCTGTAGGTGGCGCTGTGGCTCCACATGTTAGCAGTGCTGACACCAGACTTGGGATCTCTTCAAACCAAAAATAATGACAGAATTTGCCTTGCCAGCTGGATAAGGAGCTCGTAGTCACTGATCACTGTGCATCTGGTTTTTCATGTGCAGTGCAAGAGAAGTGATAATAGTTTTATTTATGGGGGCTAATTAGTTTTCAGGTCATGAATCCTCTTTGTCTTATATGTGATTGATTGTAGATTGATTCTCTATCATTTTACATGGAGTCAGCTAGATGGCTCAGTGGATAGAGTCTTGGGCCTGGAGTCAGGAAGATCTTAGTTCAAACCAGGCTTCAGACGTGTAGTTATTTGTTAACCATGGGCAAGTCATGTAAACCTCTTAATCCAGTGGGAAAAAAAATGGTAAACCATTCCGCTATCTTTGCCAAGAAAATCCCATGGACCATACTGGTGTGCGGTGGTCTACAGGGTCACAAAGACTCAGATACAACTGAACAACAAAAATTATTATACATATCTCCCTTGATGGATGCTTTCCTCATAGACGTCAGAGTCAGTTGAGCACCATTTCTTTTGTCCATCACTGTGATTCACAGTGCTTAGACTGAGAGATTGAATCAAAATCAAATTCAGGAAGAGCAGCTACTTCCCATCCCCTTGCCCTTTCTACCTTGATTTATACTACTCTTGGTGTCTATTTCTCCAATATTTTTGACCTGTGACTTTCTATAGCAGGCAAAATGAACCATCATTTCATACTTACAACATCTAGAAACAAACAAACAAAAAACTTCACCAGAATTAATTAAATTATAGCTCATGAAATGTCACCAAAAATCAGCCTGTAGTTATTTGAGAACTATTGCCCTTCTTTAGAGCTAGGTCAGGGAGCATAGTAAAAGACTGGAGCAGAACCTTTAGAAAAAAATTAGCTTTTTAATGATGCCTTTTGTTTTTTATATCCCAATTAGTTCTGGATCTGCCTCTGCTTTTTTGAAGTCTTGTGTTAGTGAGCTCTTGTTTGTAATGTAAACAAAACCAAACCAAACTAGTAAAGCAAAACCAAACTACTCAGCAGTTATATCTGAAATGTATGAATGTTTTGCATCCATAGTTCTCCATCTCTTCTAGGAAATGAGAAAGGTGCATTTTCTCATTTCTTTTCTGGACTAATGCTTGTCATTACAGTTATACATTGTTTATCTTTGACTGTTCTTTTAATTTATCTCAGTGTAGTCATGTTTATAGTTTTCCTGGTTCTGCCTGCTTCAGTCAGTATTAATTCATACAAGTCTTCCCATACTTCTCTGAATTCCTCATATTTTTTGATTCTTCTGTTACATTGATATATTACATTTTTTTAAGCCATTCTCTAATAGATGGGCACCCACTTTGTTCCCAAATTTTTGCTCCCACAAAAAATGCTGCCATAAATTTTTGGTGTCTCTTGCATCTTTTTTTTTTCACCTGTTTGGGGTATATGGGAGCTCAGGATTAAAGGGCATGAACAATTTAGTGACTTTTCTTACTGAATTCTAAATCATTTTGCAGAAATGTTGGAATAACATGTAGCTCCAACAGTAGAGAATTAGCATTTCCATCTTCAGGCAGCACCTCCAACACTGATTGTTTCTCTTTTTTTGCACCTCTGTAGGGCAAGGCCCTTTATATAAAATCTGTATAACTTTTATGATATTAGGAGGAAGCTTGGGAAGGGATATCAGTCTTGAAATTTTCTTCTCATATTAATGTTAAGGTGGGTTGTGGGGAGTAGGAGTTTGTCTTAGCTGTGATCTCTTATATGAAATATTGATGTTGAATTTTTTTTTTTGGTTGTTGAGCCTCTGAAGCCAAAGAGATCCTGTAGGCCAAACTAGTCAAGTCCAAAAAGAGAGGAGTGTTGAACATGGCAGAAGTCTCTTTTGGGCCCTCTGAATTGGCAGCCTTAATCTAGTTAAATTCTTAGTATTTCTGTTAGGTTAAGTGCTAGTGGCCAGGATCCAGGGCTTGATCTTTTAGCTTGAATCCTTAGCTTAAATCATAGAAATCTAGGAAGGTCACTTTTTAGAAACTGTTATAGGATCCTATGCTTGTAATGAAAACTAGTCATGAGAGGAGTAGGAGTAGTAGTAGTAGTATAGAGATATGTGCCTCTGTGTTGGCTACCACCTGGATTATTCTTTATTCTGTCAAATCCTTTAAAATAGAGGTTCTTAAACTTTTTTGTCTCATGGACCCCTTTGGCAGTTTGATGAAACCTGTGGACCCCTTCTCAAAATATTAAAAAAAAAAATAAGTTCACAAATCCAGATTAAAGAATCCTCATTTTAAAACATGATGTAGGGGCTGGCCTAATAATACGGTCCTGTTGGAATCTGCATCAGAATCCAGTATAAGGATATACCAGATTTCTTTTACCCACTAGATTCATTTAAAAAATACCTGTTTTGTTTGTCGTATTTGAGGCACTGTGCTAGGCCCCCGGGGGATAAAAGGATGAATCAGATTTAATATTTGTGCCGGTTTACAGTCTTGTAACTCAGGTTAAGAAGGTACACAGATAACTGCAAAACAAGGTACTGACCCAAGGGATGTCCTAGTAATATAGTACGTGTGTTCACAAGGATAGGAGAGGCCTGGGAGAGCATCGGTAACTGGAACAGTCAGGGGAGGATTTGTGGAAGAGGTGGCTCTTGAGTGAGGCCTTGGAGGAAGAATTTTGAAAGGCAGAGATGAAAGACACACAATGGGAAAGGGTAGGAAAATACAAGTTCTGGGAATGCCTGGAGTAGAAGGTTTGGGTGTAGAAATTAGTAGGACACAAGGTTAGGTGTGCTGAATTAGAATAAACTTCCCTAGGACTAATGGATTTTAATCAAAGGAAAGGCAACAGTGTTAGGGATAAGAGCTCATTTTTTACTGGAAAGAGCATTAGGTTTGGAACCAAATTCAAATCCTGGCTCTCTTTCTAACTGGTTATCTTCTGGTAAATCACTTGACATCCCTGGGCCTCAGTTTCTTTGTCTGTAGAATGAAGAGATTGAACTAAGTGATTTTTGTCAAATTTTTTCCAGCTCTAATTTTTGTGATCTACTGAGTATCCACTCACAGTATATGCCCATATTATATGGACAATACAAAAGAAGTAAAATACAAATTTCCTTCCCTCAAGGAGTCTGTAGCCTAATTGAGGAGACAAGAAAAAAATCATATTGAAGCCCTGGGTGGTAGAAGTGACTTACCAAAGGTCACTCATTTAATTAGTGACAGTCACAGAGCACAGGTCTTCTAATTCTCAAGCTCGAGCTCTCCACTGTATGCCTACCCGCTCTAACCCAAGACCTGATAAGTAAAATAGTGAAATAATGGAAACACCCTAGAGAAAGGGTAAATAAATGTAACCTTAGAGACTTCGATACTTTCCTACTGCTTATTTAGCCCTCTTCTCTAACATGGTAAAGCTTATCTAATTTTCTCGTTTTTTGGTGGGGGGGGTTAGGCATTGGGGTTAAGTGACTTGCCTAGGGTCACATAGCTAGCAAGTGTTATGTGTCTGAGGCTGGATTTGAACTCAGGTCCTGCTGAATCCAGGGCCAGTGCTGTATCCACTACGCCGCCACCTAGCTGCCCCTCTAATTTTCTAGTTAAGAGAATGATACCTTCCTTATAGAGGCCCTTTTCTTCCTCTCTGCATTCTTAGTCCATTGGAACAATGATCACAATCTCCTTTCTCACTTCTGAAAAGCTTAGAGAAAAGGTAGATTGATAGACTCAGAATTCTAGAATGAGACAAGTCTGCCAAGCTTTAGAATTCTATGCTCTGAGGGTCTAAGAACACATGTTATAGTTCCAATAACTTCCATTAACCAAATCCCTGTGTATCTTGAGGACCTACATCTATCTGATTTTCAGGAAAAAATGGTCTTTATATCTTCCTGTGTTAGTCAGTTTAATAGGACAAATGTAAAAAGACAGTTATGAATAGGAATACAGCTGTAGAAAGGGGGAAGGGGAATTTAAGAATAGATCATTAGGCATATATTAAGTACTTACTATGTGTCAGGCCAGGTTTGGGGAACCTGCTGCCTGAAGGCCACATGTGGCCTTCTAGGTCCTTGGGTGCAGCCTTTTGACTGAGTCCAAGTTTTACAGAGCAAATCCTTTTATTAAGGTGATTTATTCTGTGAAGTTTAGATTCAATCAAAGGGCCGGAACTTGAGGACCTGGAAGGCCACATATGAACTCAAGGTTGCAGGTTCTCCACTCCTCTGCCGAGCACTGTGCTAGTAGAGAGGAGAGAGAGTAAGAGGCCTGGACCTATAGATCTAGAGGTGCTGTATAGTGATGAGTCAGCCCATGGGAGCTGATGAGGTTACCAAATGAGAGTGTAAAGAGAGAAGAGCATCCAAGATGGATGATGGTATTTGTATCAAGCAGTGAGCCACTTTTTATCACTTTATATTTTTATGTTCTATTCTTGCAAGTAAACTTTAAAAAACTTTGCAGTATATCATAAGTTTGGCCAGATTCTTCAATGTGTTCATCCAGGGTTTTTACATTTACTTGATGGAATTGACTGTTACTACGGCACCAGTGCCATGGGGTTGTATTTCAAGTTTTAATTAAAATTCTTACTTGCCTACAACACTGTTCCTTTCAGGCCCAACCTAATTTCCTCCAGACCCTGGATCTTGGCTAATTTGCATGGCTCAATATAGTGTCTTCCTCCTCAGGGCCATAAGGTCTTCAATCTTCATAGGCGCTCTGGAGCATTGAGAGATGCTATTTACATTTTACTAATGCACAAACTGAAGTCCAGAAAAGTGACAGTCATTCTCCCATGGTCCCTCTGGGAGCTGTTGGTTGACTTGGGAAGATAAGGCAAGACTCTACACTTTTCCACCTTGTTGGCTATAGCACTGTTTTTATTTTCTGGGGAGTTTTGAAAAATGGAAGGATAAAAAATCATTTAAGAAGGACTATTTCAGGCAGAAACCATGTCCATTTAAATTTCAAACTAAGAATGTTATCCCAAGTGGATGTACTCTACTCCTTTTTTTAAAAAATTAATTTATTTTGATTTATCAACAATCGCTTCCATAAACTTTTGAGTTTAAAATTTTTCTCCACCTCTTTCCCCCCTACCCAAGACGTTGCACAGTCTGATATAGGCTCTACATATAATTCTGTTAAACATTTTTTCACATTAGTCATGTTGTAAGGAAGAATTAGAACCAATAGAAGGAACCACAAGAAACAGGAAACAAAACAAAACAGAAGGGGAAAAAAAAAGAGCAAATAGTATGCTCCGATCTGCATTCAAACTCCATAGTTCTTTCTCTGGATGTGGATAGCATTTTCCATCATGAGACATTTGGAGGTGTCTTAGATCTTTGTGAAAAGCATTTCCATCACGAGGCCTTTGGCGATATCTTAGATCCTTGTATTGCTGAGAAGGGCTAAATCTATCAAAATTAGTCATCACACAACATGGCTATTTCTGTGTACAATATTCTCCTGGTTCTGTTCACTTTACTCAGCATCAGACCATACAAGTCTTTCCAGATTTTTCTGAAGTCCGCCTGCTTATCATTTCTCATAGCACAAGAGTTTTCCATTACATTCATATACAACATCTTGTTTGGCTATTCCCCAGCTGATGGGTATCCCCTCAATTTCTAATTCTTTGCCACCACAGAAAGAGCTGGTATAATTATTTTTGTGCATGTGGGTACTCTACTTCTTCTTGATGAAATACAAAGCCATTCCAACTTTGATAATGAGTGATCATTTCTACTTTGGTGACATTATCTTTTATTTGCCTAGATTACAGCAGGAAATCCAGGTTAAAGATTCTGAAATCAGGAAGCTTAAAGAGAAACTTGCTTCAGAAAGGTATATTTTATTACTTAACCTTTTACTGTGAATGTTTATAAAATTCTTTGAAATTTCATTCAAGCTGTCAAGCACTTGTATTAGGATACTGATACATAGGTAGATGAAGTCATTATTAGGGAGGTGACCAGGGTTGGCCAACGAGAGCCCAGTCCTTATGAGCATATGCAGTGTGCTCCACTGATGCAGTGTCCACATAGGCTTTGGAAGATGTGCAGATATTCTGTAACTGGTTCTAGACCTCTTGTAACAATGTCTGCTCTTGCTCTAAAGCCTATATGGGGAGTTCATCAACTGAGCATGCTACTTATGCTCATAAGATCTGGGCTCTCTTTGGCCAATCTCAGTCGCCCAGCTTACATTAGTTTATTCAAATTACCACACAACAAAGGATTGTAAGAATTGGACCTCAGCCCTAAGTCAAGTCTATTTGGTACTTTGATGCTTTCCAAAACTGGGGGAAAAAAGTCTATCTGGTATGTATATTTCTTCCCAGAAATTTTATTTATATCTGTATGTATGTATGTATGTATGTATATGTGTGCTATATTTATGTTTTGTTTTGGTGTGTATCTATGATTTCGGCAATATAGAGAACTCTGGGTGAGGGAAGATTCTTTAACAATATAGCTTAGCAACTTCTAGGCAATTTGTAACCTTAGAATTGCCTGGTGATAGTGAGATGTAAGTGGTTTATCCAAGGTCACACAACTGATAGTGTCCAAGGTGATACAATGAAGAATTAATTCCTCTAGCCTGTACTTAGTATATCTGATTAAATATTTCGTATCTTATTCCAAGTGCTTATATCATATTGTATTTTGATTTTCATTAAGAGAGTCATCTGGAGTCCAAGTGTTTATCTTGAGAAATCATGGAGGAGATGCTTTTTGAAAGCTTGTCACATAAAATATAAAATGTTTGTACCGTATGATAAGTACATTAACTATTCCAGTCTCCCATTATAAAGAAGAACTACAGAGAGAAGATAAATTGAGTTCATGTGATTGTAGCAGATTCTTGACCATCATATGCAGTAATGGTTCATCTTAAGACAAAGGAGAGAAAATGATAGCATTTTCACTTAAGGTCTTCATTAGGGACATTCTTGGTTTGTTGTGTAAATGCTGAGTTTTCTCTGCAAAATGGAATGAGTTAAACTGACTGGTATTCAGTGCCACTGAGTTCCTTCTAGCACACGTGCATGTGTGTGCATGTACACACACACAGACATACACACAAGGGCCTAAATAACATCACTGAAATAACCAATATAGGCTTTTAAGGTAATGGCCTAAAGGAATTGAGAAGAGGGGTAATCTTTTGTTGATCCTGTCATTGAGTGGTATAAATACTTTTAGAAATTAGGTTTTGTGGGAGATCATTTGCTTTCCGGGGAAACAACCTATGAAATTCAGTAAGATAATTAAGCTATCTGAAAACAGTTACCAAGATCCTGACAGTGAGTCCCCAAGCCTTCACTTGTGTGAGGCCATCCCATGGTCAGCATGCAGTTTGTGCCTCTGTCTCTAATGAAGTAACAATGCTGAAAACTCTTTGTGGTCCTCTCATTAACTCTTTAGTGTTTTCACATTTTAGATCTCAGTGGGAAAGGGAGAAGAATAAGCTGGAAGCCAAAGCTAAAAAGTGCCTGAGCAAGCTGAATGGAGAGACCAATAGAGCTATAACGGCAGAGGTAAAAAAAAAAAAGCAAAGGAAATGAAGAGGTGTTAACTGAGCTTTGCTTATTGCCACACCAGTGAGTTTAATAGTGGACGTCCTGCCCTTAATACAATACCAGAAAAACCACTTGGGGACCATAGCTTTAGCTCATGGGTATGGGTAATTTGCAGGCTCTTTGTCCTTTTAGTAATTGCTGTTGAGGACCTGCCATTTCTCAAAAAATAAAGCAAAACCCCCCAGTACTGATGCTCTTCATCAATGCTTCTTTCAAATTAAGCCAAGTTATTTCTTGATCACTTGATCCTTGCTGTAATGCAACATGTAAGACTACAGATACAAACAGGGAGCATTTCTACATCAGGCAACTGGACGAAGCCTCCAGGGATGTTAGCTTCCAGCTGCTCCATCTTCCAGAGTGAAATTTACATTTCAGTCCCAGATGAACAAGGCCCAGGGTAGCTTGATCTTGCAGAGGGGCCATTAATAATAGTACTAGAATAGAGTTCTCTTCATGGAAACATATCACAGAATCACAAAACTTCAGACCTGGAGAGCATGTTAAGAGTTGTCTAGTCCAGCACTTGGTCAAAAAAGGTATTCTCCACCACAACATACCCAATGAGTCCTCTGCTTGAAGAACTCCAGTGAGAGTTACTTGCCACCTCCCAAGGCATCCCATTCTCCTTTTGGACATCTCTGTTAGGGAATTTTTTTTCCCCTGACCTCAAACTAAGTTTGCCTCTTTGTAACATCTCCCTGTATTGCTCTTGTTTCTGATTCTGGGGCCAAACAGGACAGATCTAATTCCTGTTGCTCAAGACAGTACCAGTATTTACTGTGTTTATTAGAAGCAGGAGTTGAGCTCGGGGTCTTCCTGACTTTGAAGCCCACTCTATCCACTCTGACTGGTTGTCTCTACCAGACTCGATATTCAGTATAATTGTAATAATTAGAGAACTGCATGGTATTAACTGTATTCTGTAAACTCCTTCATGGAATCTCTGTCAGGTGTACGTGATGGACAGGAAACCAAGGTTTACATCATGTTTTAGAGTGGGGATATTTGAGTATTAGAAGCAGAGATAGAGAAATCACTAAAACTGCACTCCCTGAATTGTATATGACATGCCAGATTTTGAAAGGCTGTCTTCAGATTTTCTTCTTTGAATGTCAAAAATTTTAGGTGTGGTTCCTGCAGAGCCGAAGAGATTTTGGCCTTCATCAGCTGGAACAGACTGAGAGGGAGTGCCTGTTTCAGTTTATCCGTGCAACCACTATGGCATCAAGGTAACCCTTTCCTTCCCTTCAAGGTATCTTGACTTCAGACAGTGTCTAAAAAATGAGTGCAAGGTCTAAAATATATATATTTTTATGTAGATGAGATTGGAGTGAGGAAGTAATATTTGCCAGCGAGTTATTTAATTACTTTCATGTCTGTGTTCTAATGTCTCTGTTGGAGTGTTGACAAGCCTGCTGGTGTGCAATAATAGCTGACAGCCAAGAAATATAAGTATAGACAGAAACAGCAGGGACTCACTTAGGAGGACCAGGAGACTTCTCCCTTTCCCCGCAGTGAAATAAATCAAGAACTTGCGATAGAGGTACTGGATGTGTATGCCGACTGCACAGTTTCAGAATAGGATGCATGCTAATTGTAAAACTTTCTTCTAAAGATTCTTACTTTTAAGGCCTGTGCTTGAAAGCCTTCTCTTGCCCTTCTTATCATTTAGAGGATAACACTAATACCTAAGGTTATGTTTGCTGTAGGTGATAGTTTCATCCTCAGTGGCTAGGGAATAGTTTTCTCCCCTTCAAGGGGAATCCCTAAAGCTGAGACAGGATGGAAAGAAAAAAAAAAGTATTGAAATTGAGACCTTGCAGATTTCCATTAAGTGGATACTCTTATTAATGACTTAAACCTCAAAGAGGTAGCCAGGCTCCTTCCCTGCCTCCTGGGAGCTGGGTGGTATTGAAGGAGGATTGTTATCTAACTAATCCCATGGACCCTTTTGAAAGATGAGAAGAGAGCTCTCCTCAGGTGATCAAAGATGCCAAGGCTGCTTTTACATCTGTAAGGGGAAGTGATAGAATTAAGTCACCTCCTGCTTTAATACTTGTGAGGCCTGAGCTATGCACTGGAGGTTGACTCTTAATCTGTTACTCACATCATCCATCAGTCAGTGCCTCAGAATCCATTCATTCACTGTTTAGTAAGGATGTTTCACTCTGTGGCAGGATCTTCCTTCCCTCTCTTCCCCTCCACCATTTTGGAACAGTATTGGGTAGAAAAGTGTGTAGGCTAACTTGCCCCAAATAAATTCTTCCTCTGAATTAAACAAAACAAAACACCTTGGTTCTCTGGAAGCAGGTTAGTTTTGCTGGGTAAAAGACACCATATTTTATATTCTTAAAGTGTAAAAAAAATACCCTTTCTGAGTAACTTTCTGTCTACCTGAAAAGGGTTTTTTGACTGGTTGTTTTCAGTGCTGGTTTGCATTTTCCTACTGTGGGCCGCTTAACCTGTGTGCTCAGGGTGAAGTGTTTAAAAGGACAGTATGTAAAAACATTGACAGGATGTACAATGTGCCTTGCATTCTTACCTGCATATTATCATATAAGGCCTCAGACTTATATAGTTATATTTTCACCCAAGAACCTGTAGAGAGTTTTATAGAAACTTAAATGGTGTGTGAAGTGAGGGAGGTTTATCGTATGTCACTTTTTTTCTATACTAGCCATCCAGAATCACTTCAGCTAAAAGCAGCTGTAGAAAGTTGGGATACCATTGTGGCAGATGTCAGGAACAAAATTGCGTTCAGCAGGGTAAGGACATTTTCGAGAAAACTCTCTTAACTCATATACGATGATCTTAAAATAAGACTTGGTTCCTTTAGAAGTAGTGATTGGATGTATACAAGTGATATTGTGCATTGTGTTTATTAAGTTATACTTAATTTAATGAGTAAGTGAGGGGTTTTTTTTTTTTGGACTTGGAATTGATCTATGGAAGTGATGCTATACACACATGCAGATTTTCTTAAATTGTCATTTTTTTCCCTTAACTTGTGGGAAGGTATGGAATAACATGCTATGCTTCACATCTAGTTTCTTAGAATTTAAAATCTAACTCTGAAATAATAAAACAGAAGTAAACAGCCGACTTAGTTTTTCTTATTACTATGATTGGGGCTGGGGAGAAGGGGGGGGAGGAGAATAAAGTGAAAGCAAGTAAGCTTATTAGTTTCCAGATCTAAATGATTCCATTCTTGTTTCGCAAAACTCTTGGGAAACTTTTCATCAATGAAAATTGATGAAAAATGATAGTGGGGAAAAGCTGTGGCATGGGTGATTGAAACGTATTTTGGTGTTTTCATGAAAAGGTAGATGCATCTCATCTAGAAATTTATAGTACTTCATAGTACAACTTTGTTATTTTGTTTGAAGAACTGATTTTGGAAGAGCTAGGAATTTGTCCATTTTCCCCATGTTGTACCTTTCTCTACTCTACCCCCTCTCCCATCTGTGATCTGGCAGCCCCACTCCATCCTGGGAATGGATAGCATTATCATTTAAGATAATGCAAAGTACCAAACAAAACAAGGCTACCTCAGTTGTTCTCCAAACTTGATGTCTTTCAGGTTCACAAATAGAAAGGTGGTTTTCTTTACTGTTTTGCGTTTTCCTACTGTGCACTCTTCTTGTAAGTTCTTTGTAAATCCATATGTGCTATGTAAATATAAGTTATTATATGAGTTGTCCAATGGGACAGAAGCAGTAATCTGATGTTTTCCTTTAAGAGACCACATTTTCCCCGCTACATGAAGAATGATACAGAGTATACAGAGATGCTGGAAAGATCACCAATTCAAAAATATATTAAACTTCAGGTGTGGGGGTCATGTCTAAGAACTTATGACTTATAAATACCTGGGGGTAGAAAGAGGGTGAGCGCTATGAATTGGGCATCATATTAGTAAAGATATTTCAATTAATATTAAATATTTTTTCCTCCACTAACAGTTAGTTGAATTTACTTTCAGAAATCAGTTTCTTAAATAAACTGTCACAACCTATATAGTATTTATAGTCTTATACTGCATTTAAGAATGCAAACTGAATCAAAATTAATTTGAAATCCTGTTTGTTCAAAACAGACTATGTTCTGAACTATGCTTTTCTTCTTCCACTAGACCCAATACAATGAACAAATTGCTCTGGTGAAGAATGGTTATCCTCTGAATTGCTTGCCTCCAGTACAGATTCCTCCACCACCACCCAGTCCTGATATATTGGTAAAAAATATTGGATTTTTAAAAGTCACCTTCATCTTGATAAAACAGTAATATTATAAAATGTGGAATTTACAATATATATGGCTATGTTTCGAATAATAAGAACAATTATATTCATACACATTAGGGTATGGTAAGGAGTATCTAACCTCAAGTAAGTGAGCCTATGCTACTAAATTATCATAATGCATTAGATTGTGATATCTAAGACAGCTTCATCTTTTAGAGAATCTCAAGATTCTCTCATCCAGCTTTCTACTTCTTGTTCTTGGAATTATAGTTAGATTGTTGCTACTAGAAAGGATCGACAAATTGATTGCCCTTTGGCTCCACTCAATCCCTGAGATTCCCCAGAACACAACGTCCTTCCCTGGCCATCTCTGCCCTGTATATGATGTTTTGCCCATTGGAGTGTGGGCTCTTTAAAGGTAGAGACTATCTCAGCTTTGGATTTAAATAATCCGAGCACCTGTCACATAGTAGGCCCTTAAAAAATTCTTTTTTCATATATACATTCACTCATCCTCATCAACTTTCTTTATATACTATTTTTAAGAGGTACTTAATAAGATAACAGGCCCACCTAGATCCTTCGTGTTTCTTAGTTGTCAAACATTTCCCACTTCAATCCCCTGCCAATACTAAGTTGGATATTAGCTTATATTCCAGACTTTATTAGTTCTTATCTATATTCCTTAACTCTGTACCACTACCACTACTCTGATCAAGACTTACTCATCCTTTTGCCCCTTGCCATTGTGGCTTTACTCTATGTTAAGTGACAGTGTCAATTAAATTAAAGTCCTCATTAGTTTTTTTTCACTTCTTAATATTACTTTACTACATCACAATTTCACTGATATGGATCATCCCTCTGCCAGTGCTTTTTGCAAGTCCTCTACGACACAGAAGATGGCCTTGCAGAATTGCTGTGGTCAAACAAGCCATCTTCCTGTGGCCAAGCTGGTGATCAGCCTACCTAAATTTAGCAAAGCTGGGTCCCTGGACAGCATTCATAGCTAGGTGGGACTTGCCATAATGCTGCAAAGCTCTTGAATGCTTACTCATGAACCTCCCTCCTTGCTAATGTTGAAGTTAGCTCGTAGGTTAGCTCTCCTGGTTGCATAATTTCTGAACTGAATCTAATTTACATGTTTCTAGAATGTCCCTAAAGGAATGAAATTTATGTTTAGAGTGGCAGGCACATCGACAGACTGGGAATATGAGTGTTGAAGAGAGATGTTTGTGGGGCATGTCCATTCTATTCCAGGAGAACCCTGCAAGTCTTTTCTCCATTCTTTTAGACAGGGAGACTACAGCAGTTACAGTGACTTGTCTGGAAGCAGGCTTCAAGTTAGAGATAAACTGGAATCTATGCTGAAATCACAGAATCAAGAGTTGGAAAGAACCTCAGGAGAGAGTCTGATACAAGCCCTCTGTCTTGTTTAGGATTGTAGTAAACTCAGATCTTCTTTTGTGTGTACATTGTGAGGCCATCAACATTATCCTAGGTTTGAATATTATAGCTATTCTGATGTGACTGTGCAAACTCACCAAAAATCTGTACTTGAAGTGAGATAGATCCCCAGACTACTGAGGTACTTAAGCCTTCTGCCTTTAGGTACTGTCTGAACCTTCTCCCATGACACTGGGATTTTTTTTATTTGTTTGTTTTGTGTGTTTTGTTTTTGTTTTTTGCTAGGCACTGGGGTTAAGTGACTTGCCCAGGGTCACACAGCTAGTGAGTGTTATGTGTCTGAGGTCGGATTTGAACTCAGGTCCTCCTGAATCCAGGGCTGGTCCTGTATCCACTGTGCCACCTAGATGCCTGTCTTGTTGACACTGTTACAGTGGCCGTTGAGTCACAGAAGACAACCAGATGCTGAACATTAGAGTGGACTAACTAGTAACTTGTAGCCCCGAGGACACTTAGATATTTCAGTATCTTACTCTGTCTGGTTTCAAGGTTGCCAAGAGGAGACACCTTCAGGTCCAATTCAGTCTGATTCCAGCGTCTCCCTGGTTTCTTGATACCAGGCCAGCACGATCCCAAAGACCTGGGGCCAGTGATCATTCCACAGTCATGTAGCTAAACTTTTTACTGCAGCCAGTTCAAGAAAACTTTCTAACTCTGGTCAGACTATTGCAGAAACAAACCGAATGAAACCAAACTAAGGAGAATAAGGAAAAAAAATCTAAAACAGCTTAGCAAAGCCAAGTGCAATATGAGAACCCTTAACATATCTTTTTTGGCCAGTTATTCTATGAAGGGACACTGTATGCTTCCTTTGAGGTTTCAGAATGTTCTTGCTAATTAACTGCTGTGACCTATGGCACAGATCATTGCCAGTGCTAGGAAAGGAGAAAGGTAGAGTAGAAGGAGCAAGGAACCTGGAGTTGGAAGATTTGGGTTCAAGTTCTGGCCCTGTTACAAATTTGCTATGTGAACTACAAAGACAAGGCACTTAGTCTCTTTTCTGTAAAATAATGAAAATGTGTCTTATCTGTAAAGTAATGAAAATGATAGCAGCTGTATCTACTTTGCAGAGCTATTGTAAAGATAATATGAATTAATTTCTGTGGAAAATCCTTTGTAAACTATGAAGTACTATGCAAATATGAAGGGTTATTGCTATTATGGAGAGGCAATGTGATGTAGTGGATAGAGAGTGCACTTTGGAACCCAGAAGACCAGAGTTTGATGCCTGCTCTGACTAATGCCATACACATAGTAACTGTGTGAGTGGGGGTAAGCTGCTTCACTTCCTGGGCTAGTAGGCAGTTTTTAAGATCCTATGCTAATCTGCACTGGTGGAGGGAGGTTACACAAAAGGAGTTCCCTACACTAAAATCACAAGTCCGTCCCTCTCTTTTTCTCCCACATTACTATTCTGTGTACAACATTATAAGGGTTTGTTTTGTTTTTGCTGCAAATTGAAGAATGATGAATAATGCTCAGATTTCACACAGCTATGCACCTGGGAAGTCTGTAATTTATAGGGGTAATTCTAGCCCAGTTATCACCTAGGTGTGTTGCCTAAGGGTTGCCTAATTTCTTTGTGTGTGTGTGTGTGTGTGTGTGTTTTTTTCCCTATACATTATCTGTCCAATATTTAGGGGTCCTTTAAGGATAACAATTCCTTAGTCATCTAGTTCAACTTCATGTAACACTGAAATTCTCTCTGTAACAGCCACCTAGACTCCAACACCCCGAAAGGCAAAGTGTTCTACTTCATTTTTTAGGCTCCTTCTTTGTCTTCTACAGTATGGCCAATCTCAAGGCCTCAAACCAGCAAGTGCTGGAAAAGGAGTTCACTTTGTATCCTCTGGGAAGACCAGTGAAACCAGGGAGCATTCTGCATTTGAAATCACTGCAGGAAGGCTTTCATTCCCCTTCCATTCTAACCTTCAAAGGTCAACATGTCAGCATGTGCTGGGGATCCTAGCCTATGTTAGTGACTTCTCCCTAATACACAGGAAAGAAATGGGTGCCTTGTCATAGTCCTGGCATTCAGCTATGCAAGGATGGAGTTGGACCAGACTGTCTGTAAGGTCTCTTCCAGCTCTAAAGTTCTGTGATTCTACAAATGCTTAGTGGAATTAAGATACAATGACAAAGTATCAATATTTATTTTCAGCATGTGCACATGATAATTCAGTCAGTTTCCTTTCCATAGAAAGAACATTAGAGCTGAAGGGATCTTGGAAGTTGTTTAGTCCAAGTCCCAACACACACACACACACACACACACACAGAGTTTTTATAGAGTCTTGGTATTCTCAAACTCTTAGCGTAGTGCCTACTTTTAGTGTATAGTAGGTACTTAACCAGTTATTAAATTGAATCTCTCTGCATTTTTATGTTACTTATGCACTTAAGCGCTTAGATTATATTTCCACTGTTCTGCACGATTCAGCCCCAGATATTCTCCACACACCCCTGCTTCTCTCACATGCGTCTTGCGTGTGCACACATATGCACACACCGTCATTCTCTCATTGCAGATGCAGCATTTCTTGGAAAAGCAAATCATGAAAGAGAATTCCTTGAGAGCTATTCCCAGTTCTCCTCAGCTTGCTTCATCATACTGTGGAGTTGGTTCTACTGCTAGCCTGGCTAGACCACCTTTGGTAAATAAAATTATTTATTTAAGCATTTCCTTTTTTTTATCCAAGGGTGGGCTTTGGGGAAATCCTTGAGAATGTTTGCTATAGTGGTCTTTTTATGTCTCACATTTTGTTTCCCCTTCTGTTTCAGTCTCCCAACTATTGGGAGATGGAGGAATAGATATAAGGGTTGCACCAGAGCACAAAAACACTTGTTATTTTCACCCAGTGACCCCATACAATTCCAAAAGACAGTTGAAAAACTCAGTCACAGAATCATAGAATATGAAGGGATCTCAGAGGTCATTTGGTCCAGGAGTTCTTAACCTTTTCTTGTGTCATAGAGCCCTTTGGTGGTCTGGTAAAGTTTATAGACCCCTTCTCAAAATAATGTTTTTAAATGCAAAACAATAAATTACATAGGATTAAAGAGGAAACCAACTATATTGAAATAAAGGTATAATTTTTTTCCCCTTCCAAGTTCATAGATCAGCTTAAATCTATCCAAAGATTCCAGGTTAAGAACCCCTCTTCTAGTCCAACCTGTCCTAATTCTGGACAGAAATTCATTGCACAGTACTTCCTGACAGCTCCTCTACCTCCACCCTCTGATTGAAACCCTCCAGGGATGGGGAACTAATTACCTTTTGAAGAACCCAACTCTATTTTTGAACACCTCTAATTGTTAGGAAATGTTTTCTGATGTTAAGTTGACTTCTTACTATTTTCTCTTCCCCCAGCACAGTGTCCCATCTCCCATCCTCTCCCCTTTGCACAGGCTCTCTTGTGTCTGCCTTCACACTTTAGAATCCTTCATTTCCTTCATATTTAAGTCCATCTGGCGCCTTCTCTCTTTGGTGATTCTCTCTTCCCCTCCACCTCCAATAGAATGTCAGATTTCTAAGGGTAGGAACTATATTTGTCTTTGAACTCCCAGCCCTTGGCATAGAGTCTTACCCTTATGTAGATATTTGAGCATTTAAGTAATGTTTATTGTGTTGAATTAGAAGCTTTCCTATGACAATGATGTTGTAACCCTTTTAGGTGACAGGTATGGCCCAACCTTTACAAGTGTCTGTTTTGGAGAATGGAATTTCTGAGGCGGTCATAGGAAATGAGCGCATCAAGATCAGCTGGGAGAGGATTATGGATAAGCTGAAAACTGCCTTTCCAGAATATAGCAGGTAGTATTGCTTTAATGATAGGCATAAGTTGTATGGATTCCTGCTGAAGCTGTTTACTTTGGTGATAACATTTTAAAATAGGTTTATTTCATTATTGTAGAAATCTGTCCATATCAGGTTCTCAGAAGGAAGAAAGGGGGGAAAAAAAGCATTTAGTAAATATCTAGTATGTGCCAGGCACTTTGCTAAGAGCTTTACAAATATTATCTCATTTAATCATCACAATAACCTTGGAAAGTAGGTGCTATTATTTTCCTGATTTTAAAACAGTCAAGGAAACTTAGATGAGCAAACAGAAGTTAAGTGATTTGCCTAGGCTCACACAGCTATTAAGTGTCTGAGGCCTGATTTGAACTCAAGTCTTCTGACTCCAGATTGAGCACTTTCCACCATGCCTCCTAGCTGCTTCTACTAGAGGGAGAAGGAAAGATTCTGAGAAGAAATTCGTAGAAGAGAAGCGGCATGGGCTAGTGGGAGGAATAGAGCCCTGGGCTCTGGACTGGCTGTGTTGCTAAGAAGCCAGTGACTTCAGCCAGTTTGCTGTGAAATTCAGGATCTTGATCTGTTAAAAGAGCAGGTGAGGGGCAGCTAGGTGGTGCAGTGGATAGAGCACCAACCCTGAAGTCAGGAGGACCTGAGTTAAAATCCAGCCTCAGACCAAACACTTGACACTTACTAGCTGTGTGTCCCTGGGCAAGTCACTTAACCCCAATTGCCTTAAACAAAACAAAACAAAAAAAAGAGCAGTTGAGTAAGTCCTGTCTCTCCTCCTTGATTCCGGGGGCTGCTGTAAGAATCTGAAAACTTTGCAACAGCATAGAAATGGCAAGTAGTATCATGATCACAATTGGGAATCTTGATTTCATTTTTTGCTTCTTAAGGTGTTAATCCTAAACCTCAACTCTAGATTAGCTCTTCCCCTTTTGAAATGAGCAGCTGTGGAGTACACATCTAACTAATGAGACATCCTTGATAGAGTGGAGGGAGTACTGGAGGCAGGAGGGCTTGAGTGTAAATCCTGTCTCAGGTGCTAGCTGTGTAATCCTGAGCAAGAAACTGAACCTCTCTCAGCCTCAGTTTCCTGATCTGTAAAATGAGGGGATTGGACTTGGTAGTCTCTAAGATCCCTTGCAGCTCTAAATCCTAGGACGAGGTCCTGCCTTAGATGCTTACTAGGTGTGTGAGTCTGGGGAAGTTATTTCTCTGTCTTGGCCTCAGTTATTTTGAGAGGCATCAAGGTATGGGGGATAGGGACCTAGACTTGGAGTCAGGAAGCCCTAGATTCAGATATTGTTCCCTGCCACTTATTACCTGTGTGAAATTGGTCAAATCACTTAATCATTTCATACTTGATGACTAGTAAAGTTCCTTCCACCTCTAATTATACGATCTGGTAAACCTAAACTTATCCAATCTTTAGGCATCCGGCTGTAGCAGTTGTCTTGAAATGTCCTGATTGATTGTTATGCAGATAATAGCTTCTTTTCTTAGGTTTGAGTTTGTGCTTTTTAATGTTATTTAGTGGCATTAGTTTCTGTGTTAGGGAACATGGTGGTGTGCAAGAAATAATGACATTCTCAATTGGACCTTTCCTAGCTGTGACACAGCAATGATGGGCCCTCTAACTCCTCCACTCTAGGCCTTTGAAGTGTCCTCTAACCCCACTTCTGTACACACGTAAACAATCCTGGGCTTTGAGAATCTCTTCTTATGAAGTCCTGTATTTGTTGTACCTATAGAACACAATATACATTGTGCCATGTTTCAGGTTTAAATTAGGATAGAATAAAAATGATGGTGAAAATAAAACACTAGAGCCTGATATAAAGTTCTAATTGCAGTAATAGTAAAACAAAATTTGTTTTAGTAGGATTTTAGAGTTTATAGGAACCTTAAAAGGAATCTAATCTAACCCCCATAGTTTGTGTAGGAGAAAAATGGGACTCGTAAAGGTTAACCATCTTGCCCAAAGTTACACAGGTTAATAATTGGTAGAACCAGGATTTGAACCCAAGTCTTTAGGCTCCCAAATGTAGTGTTAGTTCCATTCTATAACTGTCCACCATTGTATTTACATCGTACTCTATTACATGGAGAAGAATACTTTGTCTTATCTGGTCCTAAGATGCTGGAGCAGGCTTTGGGTCACAGGATAGTGAAAAATGTGAGAAAGCAAGATCATTAAAGGGATGCTGTAAATACTACTACTACTACTACTACTACTATTACTACTACTACTACTACAACTACTACTACTACTACTACTACTACCACCACCACCACCATTACCACTACCACTACCACCACCACTTAGCATTTATATAGGACTTATGTGCTAGAAGCTGTGCTAAGCACTTTACAGTTATGATTTCTTTTGATCAGGTTCCTTAGCTCTTTTTGAATGTTTGAGTATTTCTGATGAAAACTCTTTGTACTTGCAGAGGAGGTGGAGGATCTAGTAACAGCAGGATTAAGGAGGAAAATGTCAGCCCCTAGGGAGAAACAAGTTGAGAAGCATAAACTTACCCCATAAATAAGTGAATGGCAAATTGATTTCACACATAGTGCCTTTTCGCCATCCTTTCTCTGACAACATTGAAGTTGCTTTGGTTGGGGAAGAGCTTGACACATTAGCACAGTCTAAGCTGTGGGGGCCTTGAGACACTTAAGGGCTGAGTATCAAGTGATTGCACGTAGAACTGTGTGATAATCACCTTTTAGAACAAGGACACTGGACGTGAAGCCTGTGAGATATTTTCACGTCAAGATTGGAGTGCACATGCTTACGGGATGACAAGAGTTCCTGGACTTGTCATACTGGATCTCTTTCAGGAAGGAGCTCACAGACCTTTTACGAAAGCTGAAGGATGCCAATGGTAGATCCTTGACGGGGCTGACATTTGATGAAATAGTTCGTAGAGTTTCCCAAATGATTGAACCTAAAAGATCCCAGGTAAGAAACTCCTTGCCCATGACCCTGTGCAGCCTTCAAGAATGTTGACTGATGTAATCACCTCAACTTCAAAAACTCAGGAAATCAACCATTTGTTTTAGGAATTTTGGGCCATTCATTAATGGTTTTTAAAAAAATCAGCAAATTTACCATTACTCTTGCTCCACTGATCCTTTTGGAGAAGTCCAGGCAACTGGGCATGGTGAAAATCAAACCAGCTCACCTTTTATTCTAAAGGAAAAGAAAATTGCTGGTTTTCTGGGAAGACTCATTTTGAGTAGGACATATAGATACAATTTCCATTTTTTTCTCCTGCTTTCTTTATTGTCCTTTGGGAGTTGTCACTAAAGATGCAAAAAGCACCCTGTTTTGTGGCCAGATTTATCAGGAATCTGTGGACCAAAATGAAAAGACCTTCTTTCATAACCTTCTGCATACCATTGGATCACTTTATTCTACCTCAGAAGTTCTAAATGTTTTAGGGCAGGTCTGCACAACATTCAGCCTGGCGGCCTGCAAAAAATGTACAGGATTTAACTATGGCTCAGGTCATCCTCAGGCCCCAGGGCTGTTCTCAGACAGAGCCAAAAGGGCTCACTGGCCCTTTAAGAAGAAGTGATTAAGAGGTCTAATACCCTTGGGCAGACCTGCACAACAGGGTCACTTTGGTGGGCTGCAAGCAGTAAGTGGGCTGTATGTAGTACAGGCCCATTTTAGGACTTTAAACACAGAATATTCATCATGCTGTTTTCATTTTCAGAACCAAGTACAAGGAGTGCAGAGTGCTGATTCTGTTCCTCCTAGCCACCCTCAGCCTAAACCCAGCATTGACCAACCCCCACGCTCTGCCTGGAGACCCCTCAACCCACAGGTCCCTGTGGCGTGGGAAGGGACCAAAAATTTGGTAACTCAGTTTGATTCCATACATTTTGATTAAAGTACAAACTATGGACACTGGGAATACAAAGATGAAATAAGACCGCTCTTAAGTTCAAGGGTCTTACAGTCTAAAGGCAGGCTTAAAGATTATATAGAAGTAATTGTAAAATAAAGTGGAATGCCATGAGTACAAAGAAGACATTCAGATTAAGTATCATGTGAAATGTGAAGTGAGAAGGATCATTTTTAGTTAGAGGGAGAAGCTAAGACTTCGTGGAGGAGACAGAATCTGATTTGAACTTTGAAGAAGGGAGGGATTTCACTAGGAAGAGAGAGTCCACTTAAAGCATGGCATTCAGGGAGATAGAGGGTGAGGGAGGAAGAGGAGGATGGTAAGAGCAAAGGCTTAGAAATAAGAGAAGGCAACGTGAGGAAGAGGGATTATGACAAGTCCAGTTAAGTCTGCACTAGTGTGAGAGAAAACTGGAAAAGTGAGATAGAGTCAAGTCATGCCAGGCCCCGAATGCCAAGATAAAGAGTTTATATATTATTTGGTAGGTAGGAGGTGTTTTTTTTTCTTCCTCTTTAAATAGAGGAGTGATGTAGTCAAAGAGGTGGAGAAGGAAGATTATAGAGGCATCAATGTGAAAAATTTGGAGTGGGGAGAGAGAGGGTGTTCTTGAGGCTGTTACACTTGCCAGGTGAGAGGTGTTGAGAGCCTGAACTAGAATAGTAGCAGTGGGAATAGAATGAGTAGTGTATGGAGGAGGGATGAATCTTAGAGGCAGATTGACAACATTTGGCACCTGATTGGATTATACTTGTCTGGGACTCAGTTATTTTGAGAGGCAGATGAGGGAGTCAAAGATTATTCCAAATATGGGTGATGAGGGTGTTAGTACCCTTAACATAAAATGGATTAAGTTAGCAGGTAGGGAAAATGTTCAGATAAGTTTAACATGTGAATTTGAGGTACTGGTGAGCCATCCAGGTAGAGAAATTCAGCAAGCTATTATAAATATGGGACTGTGCCTGACACAGTATATGATTAATAAGTTGTTGTTGATTGATTTATTGATTGGCTTATAAAGTAAAGGTTGGGAACAGAGGTTAAGATTTGGAAGTTGTCCTCATAGAAGTGATCATTAAAGAAAGGGTGATGAACATAGAATTTGAGAAAATGAATTTGGGGAGAGAAGAGATGAGGTCCAAGGACAAAATCTGGGAGGACGCCAGTGGGCAAGGTTATCAGAAGATGAAGAGCCAGTGAAGGAGTTGGAAGAGGAATGGTCAGAGTGGTTGGAGGAGAGACTTGATAGTAAAATGCATGGAAGTTAAGGGACAAAAGCATAACAAAGAGGGAATGGTCAGCAGTATTCGATTCAAGAGATGAAGGCGAGTGAGTGCTGAAAAATGGCCATTAATTTTGTTGATGAGGTCGTTCTTGATCTTATTAGAGTTAGAAACTAGATTACAACGGGTTGGGGAAAGAGCTAGTGAACAGCAAGTTGAGATAATGAATGTAGAATATTATTTCTAAAAGTTTGTCTTTGAAGGAGAAGAGAATGAGACTAAGAGAGTAGCAGGGTCAGGACAAGATACTATGATATAGAGGAGATCTAAGTTTGTTTCTAGGCCAGTGGGAAGGAAGGATCAGCAGAAAAGGAGAAGTTGAACATGTATGGGAAATAGGGAAGGGATAACGGAACAAGGTCCACAGAAAAGACAGAGCCGTTGATTCTGAACACATCGGGCAGGGTGGTATAGCTCAACAAAGATAAGATATGCTGATTTGTATTTCACATATATAGGTTGATGAAGAAGAGCCTTGTGTGATCTGCCATGATAACCTCACTTCAGAAAACCTTTCTGTGCTGGCTTGTGCTCATAAATTTCATTCTCAGGTAAGTTGTTTAAGTTCTCCAGTTGGCTATGTCAGTATCTGGTAGGCAGCCAGCCCCTCACTAGTTTGCAGTGTATCACAAGGAAATCTCTAGAAAAGAAAAGAAAAACCAAATTCACACAGAGAGAAGTATATATATATATATATATAGAGGGTGTGTGTGTGTGTGTGTGTGTGTGTGTGTGTGTGTGTGTGTGTGTGTTTGTCTGTATGTGTGTGTGCATATACATATATATGTATGTGCACACACATATACATATATACACTTTTATGTATACACATAGAGATCTCTGTCTAAACGTATGTATATGTGTATAGAGAGCAGGTCTCAAAACCAGAAAGATCTAAGTTTAAGTACTACTTCTAACCTTTACTGCCTCAGTGACCCTGGGCAAGTCATATTGGTAGAGGGGATTTCTTTTTCTTTTATCTTTTTTAAGTTGGCAAATAGATGTATTTTTTACAGTAGAATTATTACAAATAAAGTATTAGTTCATGATTAAAAAAAACCCAACAAAACTTTAACCACTAATAGGGACATATTTTCAAAACATTAATCATAAACTGAAATGTTATCTAGGAAGAAGGAACACAATTCCTAAAGAATACTTTTAAAAGGTAATTCATCATTTAAAATTGTTATCCAATTTATTTCAACAAACCTTTTAAGTACTAACTGTATGAAAGGCACAGTGGTTTCAAAGAGGAAAAATGATATAGTTCCTGCTCTTAATTGTGGTCATCACAGTCATCATTAGAGTAGTATAATAAAGGTACTGGTGGTGGTGTTGGTAGTACTAGCTAGTAGTAACTGCAGTAGTAGTAGCAGACAGTAGAGGGGATTTCTGCATTAAGGTTCCATTCACCAGTGAAATCATCGGTTCAGTCCTTATTTCTGTCCTCTGGGACACCTAGATATTAGCAGAGGCATTGTGAGAGATCTCTTGAACTAACCAGGGATTACAGTTCTTTCAGTGGACCAAAGCTCTAAAGTTAAGGTATAAATCAGGGCTTTTCTCTTCTTGAGGTTTATCTTCTTTGTTAACAAAGCCTTTTTGCAGTATTTTCATTGGCCTTTCTGAAGTATTTGTTACTGTTGGCCACCCTGTCCTTCTTGACACTCTCTTATCCTTTGGTTTCCATGATATGGCTGTCTTGTGCTCCCCTGACCCTCTGGCTCCTTCACTTGCTCTTTGTGTTCTTCCTTCTTAAAAGTGAGAATTGTGGGAATTGTGTGGACCAAACTGCCACCATTTTGTAAAACTTGATTCCATTTTGAGACCCAAGTTTCATTTTCCTGTTAATTCCACCTGCTTGCTAATTGTGGGAATTGAGTGACATCCTATTTCACAACTGGAAAAGTCTGCCTATTTGCTCTCTCCCCTCCCAACTCTCGAAACTCACTCATCCACCTCCCCACTTGGAAAGACTTTATTTTTTCCTCTAATTATAAATTAGATTACCTAGTCTTGTATCGTATATTGTGTCCTGTTAATAGCTTTTTTTTTAAATGCATAAAAGTCTGTCTCTCCCTGTATTTGGGGTCCAATGCCAAGCCGAGGAGACCTGGTCCCAGTTTGTTACTCAATTGATACATATTTATTGCTGTTAAATCAGTATGCTCGTAAGCTCCTCAGTTATTTCAGATTTCACCCATCACAGGATCCCTCAAGGTTGTCTTTGACCTTCGTCTCTTCTCCCTCTACACCTTCTCTCTTTGTCATCTCATCCATGTCCCTGGCTTCGGCTAGCACTTCCATGAGGGTGATTTCAATAAGTACTTACTCAGAAGTGCTGAAACAAATTTTAAGTTGCTGCAAAGAAAAAAATTGTGGCAGTGATGTAAGAAAGAGAGGGAAGATTTATCAGTAATACATGTTGAAAAATAAAAAAGCTCCCGAAAATTAGAGTTGTCCAAAAATGGAATGCAGTGCTTCTGGAGGCAGCAGTTGTTATGCACTGGGGGTCATCAAGAGCAGTCGGGAAAATCATGTCAGGCATGAACTAAAGAGGATTCTCACATTAAGGAGGGGGCGTTAGATAACCTTTGAGAGCCTTTCTAGCTCTGAGATGATATGCTTCTTAGTAGTATTACATGTCCCTTCACAGATAGACATGCCCATGTGTTCATTTGAAGCACAGCACTGACTGTCACATCCTCGTCTTGTCCTTCATACATCATCCCTAGACAAGACTAGTCAAATCACCAGGAAGCTGGATTTTACTTGGCTCCTAAGATATGTGTGCCTAGAGACTTGCCTTCAGCTCTCCTGAATCATCTTATAGATGGAGAAAAATAATAGTGGCAGACATTTATGCCGAGCATTAGGCTTTGCAGAATGCTTTATGTACGTTATCTCATTTGATCCTTGCAACTGCCATGTGGTGGATGGGCTACTATTGTCTCCATGTTACGGATAAGGAAATTGGGCCTCAGAGAGCTTAGCTGGCTTGCTTGTGGTCACACAGCTAGTTGGCATCAGAGGCAGGTCCTTTGATTTGCTCCCATTCTTTCTGTCACACCTTGCTATTTCTCAGAATCCTTTTGATTCTTCCTTATTATCCATTAGTATGCCTCTTCTATCCATTGGCTGCATAGTACTGCACCATCTGGTACTACTCAGAACCTTTCTGATGATAGCTTCCTTATCCTTATTCTCAGACCCTAGCTGTCAAACATTCTGTTCATATTCCCAAATGCCTCATGCTGAAGAAAACTAAGACTATATGAGGAAGGCTGTAGGAACAAGACTCAGAGTAGTCAGGCGTCTGCAAGTATGTTGAAGCAGCATTCCAGCTGCAGAAGTTGGAATATGGGGCTACTTCATACTGGTGTGCCGTAAATATTATATATCATCCTTTATCCGGAGGATCAGCTCCCTAGCTTAATGATGGCCTCCCGCGATTACGCAGCACAGGAGGCAGCTAAGCATGTTGGCTAGGCTTCTTGTATTTGCTTTTTAAGATCTTCAGAACCTGAGTGTTTGATGTTAGAATAATGTGAGGCAGGCAGGCCTTTTGTGAATTCTTGGCATTTATATAGATTAGTCTAACTCTTGGCTTTGCTGCTGTATAAGCTCTATCGATATACAGTTTGTGATCTGGGTCTTCTGTTGCAGAGATGTAATTTGACACAGGAAAAGATAATCTTGTATGAGGAAGGTTTCTCAGGGAAGTGAACAATAGCCAGCTCATTCAAGCCTTAGCCGTAGAAAACTATTTCAAAGATATATGATACAGGCTGGAATTACATTTTGCATCTCTGCACTGCTATAAAGAGAGATACACAGCATGCCTAATCCTGAAAGATCCCTGAGAATGATATTTCTTGTTCCCCACTTGAATTTCTTAAAGAGACTAAAAACTTAGGAAATAAGTTTTCATACAAACTAAGTGTACTAGTTGCCATTGTCTTAGTGAGGAGAAAATAAGTCATTCATTGAGTTTACTTTTTAGGGATGGAGTGAATGGTCCTATGTTTTCCACTTTGTCCCTCCCATTCTCCTCCTCTCCTCTCTGACGAATGACTCATTACCTCTTTCCCTGTCTCTTGTTGACAAAGATAAGATGGATAGCCAGTAAGTCATTGGGATGACTTGACAAATAGCCAGTTCATGTCCAGGAAGTCTGAAAGCAAGGTTCTTAGCCATTTGCCTGTCCTATCACAGCTGCCAATAAAAAACCAGTCCTGAAGCACATCCATCATGAAGGGGATTTTAAATGAAAACATTAGCCCCTTTTGTTGATAGGTATTGAGTTCTTTCAGTTTATACAAGTATACAAGGCATCTTTTGGACAAAGCCTGGGGGGAGATAGGCATTAGGTAGTTATTTGTGCCTGTGTCTTGCTGGTATATATGTAAGAGTTTTCCAAATGATGAATATGGATGGATGATGATGATGGCTAATGATAGCTGACATTTCTATAAAGCCTGCTATGTACCTGGCACTGTGCTAAGCATTTTACAAATGTTATTTCATTTGATCCTCACAACATTCTAGAAAAGTAGATGCTGTTATTTGTATCCTCATTTTACAGATGAGGAAACAGGAAAACAGAGTTTAGGTAATTTTCCTAAGGTCACAAAGCTGGGAAGTATCTGAGGTTGATTTTGGAGTCAGGTTTTCCTGATGCCAGGTCCAGTATTCTATCAACTACACCACCTAGCTGCCCCCAGTAGAGCGGTAAAAAGGAATGGGAACTGGCTTTGAGAGACAGCATGTTGTGGCCTGGAGATCACCTGGGGAGTTAGGGGTGGGCAGAAGTAGAAACATGGTGATGGTGAACATGTTTTCCTAAGCAGGGAAAGTAGGGGCCCTGATGCCAGCTACATTCTCTTCCCCTGAGAAATCATCACTAAGAGAGGGGCATGGCTGCAGAGTGGGGTGGGGCTGGTGGCAGTAGAGAGGAGGATGTGAAGGGGCAACTGTCATTTGTCAAGTAAGACTTGGGAGACATTGGTATAAAGGGCAACAGCTTCTTTTGGTATAGTAGGTATTTGAATATCGCTGATTGACTTGTCTTCTTTTTCATCTGTAGTGCATTAAACCCTGGCTGAAACAACAGGGGACATGTCCTACGTGCAGACTGTATGTTGTGCTGCCAGAAGAATTCCCTGGTCTTCCCAGCCGACACATACCCAAAATCTGATGCAAGGGGATGGATGATGTCAAATGAGATCAGCTTCTGTACTCCAGAATTCTGCTTTGCCTTATTGTCTGAAATTTGAGGTGGTATGAAGTAATGCACACAGCTGTTCTATAACAGAGGAACTAGCTAACCAAAGTGATAAATCTTCAAAATTTGCAGTGTGCATTCATAATATGTAGACAAAATTTGATTTTAAAAATTGGTATCTTTATACTTTTCCTTTCCTCAGTAGGCATGGCTTTCTACTCCAAGTGCAACAATTAATAACTTGCTAGCCTTTCAAAGTCCTGTTGTCTTTTGTTTTCCTTCCAGTTACAGCCTTCTTCTACTTAAATGGAGCAGAGAGACTTGTGCAAGAGATAAAGATGAGCAATGAAGAAGTGGGCACAAGTTGTGAATGAAAGAAATCCACAGTTTATCCAAAAAAGTCTCAATTTCCATTAGCTTTGATCTCTAAGGTTATTAGCATGTAAACAAGAAGCATAATTTAATTGTTTGAGTTTTTGCTTTTCCACCTTGCTTCATCTTCCAAGGAAGATAACTCTTAAATTAATTGGCACCAAAAATCAAAATAAAAAGGAGTAAGACTGTATTTAAAGGTTCCACCACCTCATCACCCTCTAATACCTTAAACCTTGGGAACCTGCTTTTTTGTGCCAACCCTGCTCTCTTGAAGGCCACCAGTGTTCTTATTATCAAATCCTTTGCAATAATCTTTGAACTTTCTGCAACATTTGACACTATTTACCAACTCCTTCCTCATTTGGCTTCCATGACACTAGTTTTCCAACCTTTCTCCATCTATTCGTTAACTCTTTCATTCAACAGTTTTTCTTTTTGCACCTGCTGTGTGCAGGTGCAAACATTTTGCCAGGTTCTAGGAGAGATTAAAAAAATGGTTTAGAAAAGAGACTGTCCCTTCTTTCGTAGTGCTTATAGTTTATTTGGAGGTTAAGACACAAGCACAGATAATTATGATACAAAATATTATAAAAGTGTACTACAAAGTTTTAGATTAAAATGATCTTTTTCTCCTCCTCTCCCTCACCCCCATAGGGATTTCCTTCAGGTTTTTCTCTTTACCTCCTTCTCTTGCTACACTCTTGCCCTGGTTAACCTAATCCACTCTTGCAAAAATTTACTTCTATGTGCATGACTTAAATCTGTGGCTTCCTCCAACCCTCATCTTTCTCCTAAACCCCATTTCTATGTTAACAACTGTCATCTGGTCATCAGCTTGTCCCATTAGCTCTTCAAATTCCACAACAAAAACTCATTTTAAACCCCACATCAGATCATTTTCCTGATTGATGTTTCCATTAATGGGCCCACCATTCTCCCTGGCCTTCCGTCTTCCCTCTTTCTCTTCCCACATGTAATCAGTTACCAGGCTATCGATTTTATATTCACAATATCTCTTCACTCCACCCCCTTTCTGTTGCCACTGCCGCTTCCCAGTTCATGTCCCTGTTATCCCTTGCTTGAACTACTGTCATTGCCTCCTAACTGCTTCTGGCTAGACCCGACGACTCCCTCACTGTTCATTGAGCATTCCTTGTGCTTCTCACTCCTTATACTTCTGCTCGCGTTATTCCCTTCACCTGAAATATCCTACAACCAGGCACAGTGTCTGCCTTGCCAAGTTTTTCCTATTCTTCAAGTCCTAGTTCCAATGCCAACCCCTTCATGAAGCCTTCCCTGACCCTCTTCCCAGTCAGTTGTGATTTCTTCCATATCTGAACCCCCATAATATGTTTTTATTATTTTATTATTGTGCTTCTACTTTGTATTATATTTATAAACTTTTCCTATGCCTGCTAAGACTGTAAATTGAAGCCCTGGGACAGGCATTGTTTCCTTCCTGGGGGTGTGCATTCCTTCCTGCTGGAGTAGGGAGACTAAATCCCTAACCCTTGTCGTTGTCCTCTACTGACTTGTTCCCCGTGGAGGTTGGGGCGCTAAGGGTGAGGGAGTAGGGGACACTGAAGCAGAAGGAGATAGATTCCCCCCTTTTCTCCCATGGCTCCTCAAATAGGGCTATCTCTACTAGGCCCACTTTTCTTCTCCTGTTTGAGATCTTTTCCCCTTCCAACATTCCGTATTCAGTTCAACACTAACTCTCCCTAGTCCCTCTTCTCCTCTGCCCTTTAGAACCACTGTTGTTAACTAATTCTTTCATTCCAGTCTTCTCACATTCCTTCCCTTCTGAAGACTTCATCTCTCTTGGCACCCTCTCCAATGTTGGCTTCTTCTCCAATATTCCCTGTTGCACAGGGCCAGGAGGAATTGGTAAATTTCTTGCTCTCCACTGCCACTTTCAGAATCCTCTGTTGGCCATCTCACGCAGGACCTAGCTCCTCTTCCACTTCATGTTGTCCAGGTCGTGGGTGTTGTTATTGCCGTTGCTGCTTGTTTGTTGTCACTCTAGGTCAGTATGCCTCCTCTACAGTGTGTTCAGTGTGTGGTTTATAGCTTTCCCTGCCCCAAATCATAGCTTTCCAGCTCCCTAACTTCCTCAACTCCCATGACCTCTGTTCAACCACAGTTAGGAATGGTCCAACTCTATACCACTCTGCTCCATCTAAATTCATCTTAGATGCTGGGATTTCTAGTTGCAGTCCAGGTCTGTGACAACAGCAGGCATGTTTTCTTCCATTTTCTCATCAGCTACAGTACCTAGAATGGGGCCTTTCATGAAAATAGGAGCTTCACAAATAGGTACTGACAATTGAATAAGATGGAGGAAGGGAGAGTTAAGGGAAGCAGGGCTTGAACCACAAAATAGAGAATTGCTGAATAATTGATAGGCCTTCACTTGTAGACCTGAGTCTCCCCCAAGTACTTAAAAAAATCTCCATTTTCAACCATTTGACCTTAGCCAGAGAACTTACTGATTGTATGTATGTTTTGTATTGTATGGGTACACTCTTACATGAATGTATGGGCTAAGCCCTATCACCCAAATCTTAGCACTGAGAACTGTTATAACTGTAACTGAGACTCAGTTATTATTAAAGTCAAGATGGTGTTATGTAAGTACTGTTCCTTTGTACCAGCTCCAGAATTAGAAGAATTCAATTGCTCTGTGTGATGAATGTTTGTCAGACCATGGTCAAGGTCTTGGGTTCACTTACCTATGGACCTTAAGTCAACAATTTCCCCTATCTGCTTTAGATTAAATGTGTCGTTAAACTTTTAAATCTCTTTCTGAGTCTTTCTTTTAGAGCCCTGGTGTAAATGTATTTGCAACTAGAAAGTTTTTCAAAAAGAAATAAAGTCAATTAGTCTTACAGAGTAATAATAACAATAGCTGACATTTTTGTAGTGCTTCCACTATTATTGAACACTTTCCTCACAATAATGTGAGGGAATCAGTCCTGTAAGTGCTAGGTTTTTCCCATTTTGCTGATGTGAACAGGGATGGGGGGGGTAGGAGGAAGCATGGTGGTGGAGTAGAAAGAGCATTGAACTTGGTATCAGAAGAGTACTGATGTTGGAGTCAGAGGACCTGGAATCAAACTCTGGCTTGGTCATTTACTACCTGTGTAGCTTTGTTCAATAACCCAGCCTTCTGGGCCTCAGTTGGTTTGCTAACCTACAAAATGAGTGGTTTGGGCTAGAATATTCTAAGGAAATATTCCTAAGGTTGATCCTAAGACCGGGATTCGAATCCATGCTCCACTGTTTGCTAGCTTGACCTTCATCCCAGGACTAGGTCCAGCTCTGCTGGGTTTAGGCCTCCTTCACCTAGGAACATGCTGCTGTGGAGTTAAATACTACTCTTCCACAAATCACTGCAACTGTGTTCCAGCCCCTCTATCAGTGCTGCATTGGACCTTATTGCCATGTGGGACCTGTTGCTTGTTCAGTCTTAGTTGATCAGATCACATGAGAAAACCCATTAGCCCTCCACAACCATCAAATGTCCAAATGCCAGGCTTGTTGCCGTTAGTGACTTACCCAGCATTAGAGGCTCGGATACCAGAGGTCTTTCGCCTTCACCATGACTTTTTCTGAGGACCAGATGTCAACTCCTAGTCCTCTAACTACCAGGACCTCATCCGAGAAGGACATTTGACACCACGCCTTACTAGGAACAATACAGGCATACCTCATTTTATTGTGTTTCACTTTATTGTGCTTTATTATGTGTGGTTTTTTTTTTAAGAAATTGAACGTATTTCAGTTTCAATTAGGCAAACCCTCTGTTGAGCAAGTCTTGGCGCCATTTTTCCAACAGCATGTACTCACGTTGAGTCTCTGTGTCACATTTTATTAATTCAATATTTCTTACTTTTACGTTATTATATCTGTGATCAGTAATTTTTGACGTTACCATTGTAATTGTTTGGGTGTGCCACAAAATGCAGCCATATAAGAGGATAAACTTAATTGATAAATGTGTGTGTTCTGACTGCTTCACTGACCTGCCGTTCACCCATCTCTCTCTCCTTAGGCCTCCCTATTCCCTGAGACACAACAACATTGAAATGAGGCCAATTAATAACCCTGCAATGGCCTCTAAGCGTTTAAGTGAAAGGAAGGTCAATCGATGTGGCAAACTTTATTGTTGGCTTACTTTAAGAAAATGTCACAGCCGCCCCATCTTTCAGCAACCACCACCCTGATCAATTAGCAGCCATCAGCATCAAGGCAAGAACCTCCGCCAGCAGAAAGATTACAACTCGCTGAAGGCTCAAATGGTGGTTAGCATTTTTTTTTAAGCAATGAAGCATTTTTTAATTAAAATATATAAATTTTTTTTAGGCACAATACTATTACACACTTAATGAACTACAGTATGGTGTAGATATAACTTTTATATGCATGGGGAAACCATAAACTTTGTGTGATTCAGTTTGTTACAGCATTTGCTTTATTGCAATGGTCTGGAACAAAACCCGTATTGTCTCTGGGATAAGCCCATATATGTTCCATGCAACAGGAAATCTTTTGACTGCGTCCTGAGGCAAAGGAACTGCCATTGAATGTTAGATCATTCAGACCACTGGATATCCATTTACCAAGAGTATTCTAAATGTCTTAGTGCGGTTTTAAGCTGCTAAAGCTTAAAAGTGCATTTTTGTGTAGTCACTGAGACTTTTAGAATATCCTAAATTTATGAAACGAGATGTCCTACCCTATCTCCTTTCTACCCTGGTGATTGAGTAAGAACTGACATCACCCTCTGTCAACGAATCTTCAATCAAAGGGTACTTACTTTCCCATCCTATCTCCTCTTCTGATTTCTGTGACTCTGAGTTGATTTTTGCCTAGGTGAAAACCCCTATACCCTAGAACTGTGTGTGCCCTTATTTCTCATCCCCATTTACCTCTGCCCTAACCTTCCTGAGTCCATTTCCTCCTCTGTCCTCTCTTTCCATTGTTTCTTAGTGCTCCTTTGTTTCACACCCTTCCTTAGTCTTGGACTCACTAGAGCGTTACTCTCCCCACTCTCCCTTGCCCTCCTGGGATACCCTTTCCAATGCTGGTTTTATTTTTTTTCATGCTTCCAATACACTAGACTATAAGAAAGTATAAGTGTTCACCGTGCTTTCCCTTGCCTGTCCTGGACCTTCCTGGATGTTCCTATCATTCAGGAACGTCCCTTCTTTTGAAGTTCTGTCCAATCTATATTACCTTATCTAGATACTGATTGTAGTTATTTAGTAGACCCTAAGTAATTCTTTCTTCTTTCTCAAGGCGTTTGGCACCTGGCCCACAATTTGCCTCGCCTTTCCAGCCCCTGTCCTTATACTTAGGAAGATTCTGAAGATCATCAGGCAAGATAAGGTGCCAGACACTGAGGTGCTCTCTTGAACTGAACTGCCAAGCTTTCAAATTCTCCTACAGAAAACGTAACTCCAATGGGTTGTCCACGTTGTTCAAATGCCAAATACAGGTTTTCCTAAAAGACTTTTAGGAAGAACTCATGGGAGGAAGGCACTCACATGGTGTTCAGAAGAAGCAATACAAGGACACTCTCAGGGTCTCTCTGAAGAACTTTAGAATTGATTGTGTGACATGGGAGATGCTGGCAAAGGACCTACCAGCATGGCCTGCCCTCATCAAAGAAGGTGCTGTGCTCTATGAGCAAAGCAGAATTGCAGCAGCTCAAAAGAAATGTGAGATACACAAATTTAGACATCTCCACTCCAAATATTCATGTGGACTATTTGTGGTCGACATGTGGTAGAGCCTTCTGAGCTTGTATTGGTCTGATCAGCCACAGTTGCGCACATGTACCTTCACCCCAGCATAGCGATGTTATTTTGGTCCTCTTTGAGAAGGAAGGACGACAACCAAGCAGCCAATTTGGGAACTTTTCTATTGCCAGAATCCCTTCAAACACCCTAGCCTTAGTTCATTAACATCCTCATCTCTAATAACAAATACTGTCACTATATTGGCCACACACAGGGTTGATTATACTCTTGATCTCACCATCATCCATAAGAGTTCCACCTCCATGACCCAAAACTCTGAAATTTTTCTGATGGGTCAAAACCTCCTATCTTCTCAACTCTCTGTCTCCCTTACTTCTTGTAAATATATATTCCTTATCCTCACCACAATTTCTAATCACATTGCTCCTCTTTATCTCTCCTGTTATAATTTTACTTTCCTCCCTTCGAAGTCTTGACTCTACAGTTAACCACTCCAACGCTATGCTGTGCTCTACACTTTAGTCCTTTGTTCTCTTGTCTTATCTTTACTCGTGTCTTGTTAAAGGGTTGCTCTCATGGTCCTCTCATTCCTCTCTGTCCTCAGTAGAAGATATCACCTTCTGGAAAAGTCATTTGACATCTATTTGCCTCAGTATCCTCAACTGTAAAATGGAGATAATAATAGCACCTACCTTCCAGGGTTGTTGTGAGAATCAAATGAGGTAATTATAAAGCACTTAGCACAGTGCTTGGCGCATCGTAAGTGCTATATAAATGTTAGCTATTTGTTGTTGTTGTCATCATCATTATTTCTTCTGCTAGGACATCTATGTTAATCCACAAAGTGCCTCTTTCCTTCAGTATGTATTACATGACCAACAGTGAATCTCTTTCTGAAGATGTTATTTTCACAAACTTGTATTGGCAAAACAGTTTTCAATTTAATTCACCAAACTTTTAGTAAATGCCCACAAGGTGCCAGGCACTTTGCTCGGAGATCCAAAGACAAAAACAGAAAGGTCCCTGCCCTCAAGGATTTTTTGTTCTACTGGGAAGACACAACCTGCACAGAAATGATCCAAAATAGGAGACTAAGAGAGCTAATAAATGGAAGGGGTGAATCTTTGGAGTAAATAATCATGGTGTCCCACCATGGATTAGGCTAGCTATCTGTAAGGGACATTTTCTAGGAGCCTGGCTTTAGGATTGGTTGTGGCTTGGCTAATTTCCAGTTTGTTCCTTGGGAGATGTAGAAGCTCAGCATGATTTGGAATAGGCAGGCATTTACTCAGAATACAGTCAAAATTGCGGTGTTCTCCTGTTATATCAAAGTTGATGGCAGCTGATCAATATTTTCCAAAGGGCAAAGTATAGATGTTGGCAACCTTTCATTTCCAAACATCGTTTTGTTCGGGTTCGTTTAGAACATGTCTCCAGGGTTGTATCATTTTAAAAACCATGAAATTTTACAATCACCATTAGGATCGCAACATTACAATTAACACCTTTTTACAATGTGAACAGTATCTCTCTGGTAGGGCTGTGTGTTGAGATGGAAGGAGATGTTTCTTTACAGGAAATGATTGTATCCTAGTTGCCTCACTTTGAACTACAGAGTATGATAAAGCAAGGAAAAGACTAACACAAAACTCTGTCTCCCCCCTCCCCCCCAAAAAACCCCCAAACAACACAACTAGGTACTTTTGTTGTTGTTGTTTTAACTTAAGGAAAACCTTGATTCAAATAGTATGTGAAGAAAGCCACTCCAGTCCTGCTGGAGACAAGTCACATTTATTGAGAACTTCCTGCTAATAAAATATGGGTTACTGTGGTTAGTTAAGATTATATTTCCATAAAATTAGGTCAATTTAAGATGAATCTAAGTAGAGGAGTTTGGGGTCAGCAGATGTTCTTAATTGCTTTTTGAAAGAAACCTTGTTGACTTTTATGGTACTCTCCATTCCTCTACTCTCCAATCTACTTTCTATTTTTAAAAATAAATTTTATTGGTTCCCCACCCCTGGTAAAGCATG